CCAAGATGCCTGCAAACATCACCATCATCATTTATTTGTACCACGCCCATCTGGCTGAGTTTCCCTAGCCACTCTGGGCAGCTTCCAACAGAATATTAAAATACAATAGTCTATTAAACATTAAAAGCTTCCCTAAACAGGGCTGCCTTCAGATGTCTTCTAAAAGTTTGGTAGTTGTTTATTTCCTTGACATCTGGTGGGAGGGCGTTCCACAGGGCAGGTGCCACCACCGAGAAGGCCCTCTGCCTGGTTCCCTGTAACCTCACTTCTCGCAATGAGGGAACTGCCAGAAGGCCCTCGGCGCTGGACCTCAGTGTCCGGGCAGAACGATGGGGGTGGAGACGCTCCTTCAGGTATACTGGACCGAGACCGTTTAGGGCTTTCAAGGTCAGCACCAACACTTTGAATTGTGCTTGGAAACGTGTGTGTGAAGCATGTGTGCTATGCATAATCGACAAAGCGAAGTTATTATTTGCATCGTTGCAACCTGCTTTCACTCAGTTTTAGAGCAGCTTCCTGCAAACACAGAACACGATCCTTCACTCTATGCAAATTAAATCGGAATAGGAAGAACAGCAAAAGCCTAATGAAACTGGATTTGAACTAAAATAAAAATAAAATAAAATCCTGCCAATCTGCTGAGACCCACAAATCAGCTGAAAGAGATCCAGAAATTACATTTAAAACATACGGCTTTACCCAAAGAATATTGTAACTGAGCCGTCACTGAACTACAATTCCCCGTGCCCTGTAAAAACTAAGGTGCCCAGGATTATTTGCAGACGGTAAAGGGTAAAGGGGACCCCTGACCATTAGGTCCAGTCATGGCCGACTCTGGGGTTGCAGCGCTCATCTCTCTTTATTGGCCGAGGGAGCCGGCGTACAGCTTCCAGGTCACGTGGCCAGCATGACTAAGCTGCTTCTGGCGAACCAGAGCAGCACACGGAAACGCCGTTTACCTTCCTGCAGGAGTGGTACCTATTTATCTACTTGTACTTTGATGTGCTTTTGAACTACTAGGTTGGCAGGAGCAGGGACTGAGCAACGGGAGCTCACGCCGTCGCGGGGATTCGAACCGCCGACCTTCTTATTGGCAAGTCCTAGGCTCTGTGGTTTAACCCACAGCGCCACCCGCGTCCCTCTTTGCAGAAAGCCATGTGTTTTAAGCAGGTGTTGTGGATGTTGACCATAGAAGGAGGCTTACAATGACTGCAAGGGGGAACTTCTTACTTATATCATATCAACTGTTGGTTCCTTTAACCAGAGCGATGCATCTTTGTACTATAAAGGTTCATGTTTTTTTCTGGGTCCTTCCCTCCTGGCTGTGTTGATGCTACAAGTAAAAGCACCAGTGACCCCCACGGTGCCAAGGTCACAGAATCCTGCAATTGTACGTTCGGGTTTTCATTTCCACTCCCGGCATCACCTTACAGGGCCTGACAAAGACCTCAAATGCTCACTAAAGGAGAGCCGAGGGATTCCAGAAGCTTCGTCAAGAGCGGCAGGTTGCAAGGAAGCTGCCTCGACGCTGCCACCACGTGGCGCCAGACCGTGCCTGCCACACAACCTCCTCCTCCTCCTCTCTGCTAGAAAGTGAATTAAGGTCGCCTTCGGATTGTCAGCACTTGGCAGGAGGGAATTTAGCTGTGCACCAGAAATCCAGGTTTGCACAACTGAAATGATTTAAGCGCGACAAGCCTGCTTTTTTGGGGGGGGGGGAGGACAATGGAGCTTTTGCAAATAAAAGGCCCATCCAAACTGGTGTTTTATCACAGGTGTGTTCGGCAACAAATGCTTGACACAGATATGATGGCTATTTTCAGATTAGTTGCGCTGCAGAGGGCGTGCTGGGGAGACCACACATTCAAGAAACGCAAAATAACTTTTGCTAGGTTTTACTAACAAAAACAAAAACTCCTTTTACACTAAATTACAATACAGTGGTACCTCGGGTTAAGTACTTAATTGGTTCCGGAGGTCCGTTCTTAACCTGAAACTGTTCTTAACCTGAAACACCACTTTAGCTAATGGGGCCTCCCACTGCCGCCGTACCACCAGAGCACGATTTCTGTTCTCATCCTGAAGCAAAATTCTTAACCCCAGGTAATATTTCTGGGTTAGCGGAGTCTGTAACCTGAAGCGTCTGTAACCTGAAGCGTCTGTAACCTGTACCACTGTATATCAATAAGCATGACCCATCCACCAGGGAGAGCTACATGCTGCTCTTTATATACCATACCCAACAGCTTAATTACCACAACTTAACAGCACCTGCTATAATGTTTAACAGACTACTGTATTTTAATACTTTGTTGGAAGCCGCCCAGAGTGGCTGGGGAAACCCAGCTAGATGGGCGGGGTATAAATAATAATAAATTATTATTATTATTACTATACTGCTTCACAGCTGTAAAACTAGGTCACGTTATTTGCTCTGGCCTTTAAAGAAATACACATCTTGTGGAACAATAATGAACCTTCAAATTTAAGGAGACCATTCAACAAGATAATAGGTAGGTCAGTCGGTTAGAATGCATACCCTCCAACATTTCTCAGATGAAAACTGGGACGTCCTATTCCATAATGATAATTTTGCTATTTATACTCCACAGATCTTACTGGACACTCTGGGCAGCTTCCAACATATATAAAAACATAATAAAACACTAAAAACATTAAAAAGGTTGCCTTCAGACAGCTAGGGGGGTCAGATAACCCCACACCCTCCAACATTTCTCCAATGAAAATAGGGACATCCTAAGCAAAAGTGGGACATTCCGGGATCAAATCAGAAACCAGGACGGCTTCTCTAAATCAGTGATGGCCCTAGAAAATAGGGACACTTGGAGGGTCTGAGGATGTGGTGCTGATAAGGCCAAGGTTGAAGGTTTGATCCCCATATGGGACGGCTGTATATTCCTGCGTCACAGGGCATTGGTCTAAATCAGGGGTCAGCAAACTTTTTCAGCAGGGGGCCAGTCCACTGTCACTCAGACCTTGTGGGGGGCCGGACTATAATTTGAAAAAAATATTAATTAATGAACGAATTCCTATGCCCCACAAATAACCCAGAGATGCATTTTAAATAAAAGCACGCATTCTACTCATGTAAAAACATGCTGATTCCCGGACCGTACGTAGGCCGGATTGAGAAGGCGATTGGGCCGGATCCGGCCCCCGGGCCTTAGTTTGCCTACCCATAGTCTAAATCCTCAGGTTTTCTTCCAACTCTTTGATTCTATGATTATAGAGTGCATTAGTGGTGAATTTATGCTGCTTTAAGGTGATTTAATGCTCTTGCAAAACAAACCAATTTCTCCTTGCCTTCTTCTTCTTCTTCTTCTTTTATAATATATATAAAGAGAAGACAACGATGATGACAGACAAAAATTGAAAGATGAAAAACGAAAGTATAAAACGAGTAGTTGCACATGAGCTGAAATAATAATAATAATCATTTATTATTTGTACCCTGCCATATGGCTGGGTTTCCCCAGCCACTCTGGGCGGCTTCCAACAAAGATTAAAAATACATCAAAATGTCACACATTAAAAACTTCCTTGAATCTCTGGGTTATTTGTGGGGCATAGGAATTCGTTCATTAATTAATATTTTTTTCAAATTATAGTCCGGCCCCCCACAAGGTCTGAGTGACAGTGGACTGGCACTTCCTTGAAGTTCCTTGAAGCCTTCAGACAGATGTTTTCTAAATGTCAGGTAGTTGTTTATCTCTTTGACATCTGCTGGGAGGGCGTTCCACAGGGCGGGTGCCACTACCGAGAAGGCCCTCTGCCTGGTTCCCTGTAACTTGGCTTCTCGCAATGAGGGAACCGCCAGAAGGCCCTCGGCGCTGGACCTCAGTGTCCGGGCAGAACGATGGGGGTGGAGACGCTTCTTCAGGAATACAGGACCGAGGCCAAAGTAAAAACTATCCCCCCCCCCCAGATCATCAGGTATAGTTCCAGATTTCCCAGGCTTGTGATGAATCTTGAGAGCGATGGTTCTGTTGTACTGCATGTTTCATAGAGGAATGCCAAATCATACAGAAAGTGGCTGGTCTGGAAGTTCCAGTCGAAATCTCAAATGATGGGTGATTCTCTCCATCACAGCTGCATTGCAGAGTGAGTGGTACTAAGGACTCAGAAACAACCAGACTTTGGTGGATAAGGAAAGAGACTGGAAGAGACGCCGGGAAGCACTTCCTTGATTCAACATGGCCTAACTTACTTGCAAGCGAAACAGAACACTCAATAAATTGCAGGCATCCTCTAACCCCCCTGCAAATTTTGTGCAAGCAAATCGCGACAGATGCTCAACAAATGGGTCATCTATGGTGGTTTAGAGTGACCTTGTTTAGTTGCTGCTCTAAAGGACTTTTGTTGTGGAAACGAACCTAAAAAGCCCTAAACGGCCTCAGTCCAGTATATCTGAAGGAGTGTCTCCACCCCCATCGTTCAGCCCGGACACTGAGGTCCAGCTCTGAGGGCCTTCTGGCGGTTCCCTCACTGTGAGAAGCCAAATTACAGGGAACCAGGCAGAGTGGCTGTGGAACGCCCTCCCACTAGATGTCAAAGAGAACAACAATTACCAGAGCCCTGTTTAGGGAAGCTATTAATGTTTGATGTATTACTGTATTTTAATATTTGGTTGGAAGCCGCCCAGAGTGGCTGGGGAAGCCCAGCCAGATGGGCGGGGTACAAATAAATTATTATTATTATTATTATTATTATTATTATTATTATTATTATTATTATTATTATTGAGGCCGTACACGCGTGGGTTCGATCTTGGGTGGGCAAAAGATTCCTGCATTGCACCGGATCGGATTAGACGACCCCCGTGCAACCTTCTCCGAAGGGGCGTCCACCCCTATGTCGCGGGAGTTTGTTCACGCAGCGTTTTCTCTGCAAGGCAAAGGTGTCTTTGCAGTTCCGCTCGGGGGAGAAAAAGAGACAAGCATAGAAACGGAGACAGTCGGCTTCGGTTGGGGACTCCATTTCCCAGGGAGCCGCCGGGCCGGGGAGGGTGTGCCTAGTCCCGGCTGCCGCGTTTGCAGGAAGCGCCACCGACAAGAAAGAGAAGGAGACGCGACAGCCGGAGCGCGCGCCCTGCAAAGGTAGCCGACTTTCCCCGGGGAAAGAGACCCCGAGAGGGACCCCCCGCGCGAGGGTCTCTATCTCCCCCTACCCCCCACCACGCGAGGGTCTCTATCTCCCCTCCTCCTTCTCCTCTCGTTGGGTGCTCGTGGATCCGTAAGGGCACCCCAGGAGACCCACGGGCACGGGTGGGGGGGTCCTTTCCTGCCTGGCTCCCACCTGCGCGCAATTACGCACGCGGAAACCCTTTAGCCGGTTTCTGATTGCGACCACTTCCCGGGTTAGAGACCTCGCCTCTTGCGCCCTCTCTAGCACCACCGCCCCCACCATCCGCGCGTGCCACCTGTTTTGGACTCTAGTTCCCATCAGCCCGCAAAAAACACAGGGGCTGATGGGAGTTGTAGTGCAAAACCGCTGGAGGGCGCCAGGTTGGAGACGGCGGCCCTGGCGCAGAAGTGGCAATCCCCTTTGGCAATGAGAAGTGTTGTTGTTTAGTCGTGTCCGCCTCTTCGTGACCCCCTGGACCAGAGCACTCCAGGCATTCCTGTCTTCCACTGCATCCCGCAGTTTGGTCAGACTCATGTTTGTGGCTTCGAGAACACCATCCAACCATCTCATCCTCTGTCGTCCCCTTCTCACGCCCTCCATCTTTCCCAACATCAGGGTCTTTTCCAGGGAGTCTTCTCTTCTCATGAGGTGGCCAAAGTTTTGGAGTCTCAGCTTCAGGATCTGTCCTTCCAGTGAGCACTCAGGGCTGATTTCCTTAAGAATGGATGCGTTTGATCTTCTTGCAGTCCATGGGACTCTCAAGAGTCTTCTCCAGCACCATAATTCAAAAGCATCAATTCTTCGGCGATCAGCCTTCTTTATGGTCCAGCTCTCACTTCCATACATCACTACTGGGAAAACCATGGCTTTAACTATACGGACCTTTGTTGGCAAGGTGATGTCTCTGCTTTTTAAGATGCTGTCTAGGTTTGTCATCGCCTTTCTCCCAAGGAGCAGGCGTCTTTTAATTTCATGACTGCTGTCACCATCTGCAGTGATCATGGAACCCAAGAAAGTAAAATCTCTCACTGCCTCCATTTCTTCCCTTCTATTTGCCAGGAGGTGATGGGACCAGTGGCCATGATCTTGGTTTTTTTGATGTTGAGCTTCAGACCATATTTTGCGCTCTTCCTCTTTCACCCTTATTAAAAGGTTCTTTAATTCCTCCTCACTTTCTGCCATCAAGGTTGTGTCGTCTGCATATCTGAGGTTGTTGATACTTCTTCCAGCAATCTTAATTCCGGCTTGGGATTCATCCAGCCAGCCTTTTGCATGATGAATTCTGCATAAGTAGAACCATAGAATTGTAGAGTTGGGAGGGGAATCCCGAGGTCATCTAGCCCAACCCGCTGCAAAGCAGGAATCTTCTAAAGCCGACTCCCCAATGGGTGCCCTGGTTTGTTTTGTTTGTTGAGGTAGGCTGGGCTGAGAGCAAATGCCTGGCCCGAGGTCACCCAGTGAGTGAGTCTCACGGCTGAGCAGGGATTCGAACTCTGGTCTTCCAGGTCATAGGCCAATATGGTTCTCCTCGCCATTTCATGCGCACAACAGCCCTGAGAAGCAGGTTATATAAATTATAACAATATAAATTTTTATTTATACCCCGCCCTTCCTGATTCAGAAAACCAGGCTCAGGGCGGCTAACAAGAAATGTAAAACACTTAATTGATGCAACAAAAAACAGCATAAAATACAGTATGAAACGTGAATAACAATAAATTCAGAATTCAAAAATCAATTTGGGGGAAAATCCATCCAATAAACATTAGATGATCCCCAGGGCTAGCTGGCTAAATTAGTCCTATTTGGGCCAGCGAGGAGACCAGGGGAGAATTAGCTGTGGGATCCCAGAGCGGGTAATCTTCATAAAAAGGGGAAGGGGAGGAAAGGAAGGGGAATAAAAGATCAGGCTAAGTTCAAATTGAAAGCCAGGGAGAATAGCTCTGTCTTACAGGCCCTGCGGAAGGAAGTTAAATCCTGCAGGGCCCTGGTCTCGTGGCACAGAGCATTCCACCAGGTCGGAGCCATCACTGAGAAGGCCCTGGCCCTGGTGGAGGAATAATCTGGCTTCCTTAGGGCCTGGAACCGAGAGGCGAGAGGATCGGGCGCGGCGGAGGCCAGCCCCGCGCTTGGAGAGGACGCAGCAGCCGTCGCCAAACCCGATCCTCCTCCTCCTGCTCCGCCGCCGGCCGATCCTCTCGGCTCTCGGCCGGGAGGAGCCTGCGGCGACGGGGCGGGCGCTGAAGTTGGCGCGCCTCCTCGGCAGCGCCTTCGTCCTCCTCCTCCTGCCTCTGCTCTCCTCCGGCGGCGGGGGCGCGCCGCCGCCGGATCCGCGCGCAGCCTCTCGCCTCTGCCCCTCGCCGCGCCAGCCCAGCCAGTCAGCCAGCCGAGGGCGGGCGCGCTCTCGCTCCTCGCTCGCTGTATCCGTGGCCGCGCCCGGCGCCAGCCCCGCGGGACGACGCTGCGACGGGCGGCCCTGTGTCGCGAGGGGCGGAGCCCAGGGGAAAGGACCGCCCAGCAGGCGCGGCTGAGGCGCGCATGCGTGGCTGGGGGGGTGCGCGCCCTCTGCTCTCTGCCTCTCTCCCCCTCCCCCCTCTGGACCCCGCGCGCGAGGCTCTCCGGGGGCGGGAAAAGGGTTTCCTTCAGGCGGAAGGTCCCGTGGGAGCTGGGAGGGGGGCAGCCGCTGCTCTGGCTCCCCCCCGCCCCGAACCGGCTCTTCCTTTCGGTTCTGGCGGGGACCGCACTCTCCCCCCCCTTGCGCTCCGCTTTCCCCTCAGAAGAGCCCCCTGCTCCCCGTAATCGAGGGTGATCGTGCCCAGGGGCTCGCCAGACCCCCCTCCGGCCGTCTCTTAGTCCCCACACGATCCCAGGAGCGCGACGTGGAAGTGTGTGGACACCTGCAAAGGTCAGGGATGCTTCTCAAACCGCCAAGAGGCAAAGCCAACGTCCCTCTCACCTGGCCCAGGAGTCCCAGATGCGCCAGTTCTCAACAACAAATGCATAGAACAGGGTGTGCAACCCAAGTGAATCACTATTTTAAGCCATTCCGGGGGGGGGGGGAGATGCAACCCATTCTTAAATCTTTCCTACTGAAAATGACCTAAAAGTGTTACATTTGGACGGATCGCCCCCATAACTAATGTTGCATCATCTCACTATTTGCAGCAAGCATATACATTCTTTTCCACGGTTAACTTTTGTATACCTCAGAGCACCAAAGTTTATTTCCTAATTGCTTACTGATCTGCTGGTGAAGCAAGTTTTCTCTTGACTCCCCTTTGAACCATCAACATATCCTTTCATTACCTTCTATGCTGTTACTATTTTTTATATTTTTTTTACATAAGTAAAAAGTGACCTTTCCCCATCTGGCATGGTGGTGTGCCTCGAGATTTTTTTCATGAAACAAGTGTGCCTTTGCCCAAAAAAGGTCGGGAAACTTCTCTAAACTATGGTTATTCATGGACTTTAAGGTCCTCTACGGGGCAGACAAGGAGAGGCGGTCCTGTAAATACGAGGACCTAAGAGATGGTGACTGCTCCAGGGTTACCCAGCGAGCGCCACCCAGTGAGGGGGGATTCGAACATAGTCCAACAATGGATGCAAAGGGCAAAGAGATGGGGACCCTATTCCAGCCTAAAGGTTCTGTTCCCAGGGGCCACAAAAAGCATGACCAGAGTGCCAAGGGTACGTCCCACTCAGGGTGAATTGGGGCCAGTGAGGAGGGGTGTGACCTGGTGAATGTTCTGGGGGCCGATTAGAGAAGCCACGAGGACCGTATTTCACACCCGACACGGTTAGTAATTCAACCTCTCATTTTTCGCCATACAGATCTTCTTGCCATGGCTCAGCCAGCGCAACCGAAGCGCATCTTGGTGACCGGTGGCTCGGGGCTGGTTGGCAAGGCCATCGCAAAGTTGGTAGCCGAGGGAGAAGGGCGGCCAGACGAGGAGTGGATCTTCGTGTCGTCCAAGGATGCCGACTTGACGTGAGTCAGTCCTCCCTCCAGGCTTTAAGAAAAACCCACATTTGCCGGGGGAGTTGGGTTGGATGACCTTTGGGGGTCCCTCACAGCTGTACAGTTCTGTGAGAAGTCTGTATTTGTGAAGACTGGCGGCTCTCGGGAGAGCCCAGTCAAGCAGGCAAGCGCAACATCATTCGGTGAGTCATTTGGTGTATTGATCCGGTCAACGGACCTCGTAATAAGAGATATAAGGACAGAATACAGGAGTATCGAACGTCTCTAAAAATGGATAGAGCACACGGAAAGGTGCAGAAAAGGTCAGACATGGAGTTCAGGGGGACTTGAGCACCAAACTAAGGTGAGAAGAGCCTGGATAGCTCATTTTGTTTACAATGATTGGCTCCCAGTACGTTTCCGAGCACAATTCAAAGTGTTGGTGTTGACCTTTAAAGCCCTAAACGGCCTCGGTCCAGTATACCTGAAGGAACGTCTCCACCCCCATCATTCTGCCCGGACGCTGAGGTCCAGTGCCGAGGGCCTTCTGGCGGTTCCCTCATTGCGAGAAGCAAAGCTACAGGGAACCAGGCAGAGGGCCTTTTCAGTAGTGGCGCCCGCCCTGTGGAACGCCCTTCCAGCAGATGTCAAAGCGATAAACAACTACCTGACATTCAGAAGACATCTTAAGGCAGCCCTGTTCAGGGAAGTTTTTAATGTGTGATATTTTACTGTATTTTTGGTTTCTATGGAAGCCGCCCAGAGTGGCTGGGAGGCCCAGCCAGATGGGCGGGGTATAAATAATAAATTATTATTATTATAATACCAAGGTTGCAGGTTCGAATCCCGTATGAGACAGCTGGATATTCCTGCGTTGCAGGTGGTTGGACTAGATCATGGGTAGGCAAACTAAGGCCCTGGGGACCGGATGCGGCCCAATCACCTTCTTTTACATGAGTAGAATGTGTGCTTTTATTTAAAATGCATCTTTGGGTTATTTGTGGGGCATAGGTATTCGTTCATCCCCCCCCCCACACAATATAGTTGGTTTGGGGCGTCTAAGCTTAGGGAAGAAAGTATTTTTAAGGAGGGATCCACAGACCAGCCGCACTGCCTCCGCACACACGATTTGTGGCAGCGTGGAGCAAGTTGTGGGCGCAGCCCTGGAAGCCTTGCTTCTAATCGTCTTTTGAGTATTTTCCTAAGGCTGCCTTGAGGCGGAGGGCTTAGGAAAGGAAGAGGTAAATGCACACCTGACTCCCTGCACAGTCCAAGTGGCGCAGCTTTGCCTAAGGGGAAAGATGCTCCTTCTCCATCCTCATCCCCTCTCTTCCCCTCCAGGGATGCTGCCGCAACCGCAGCCCTTTTTGAGAAGCACCGGCCGACTCACGTCATCCACTTGGCAGCCATGGTAGGCGGCCTTTTCCGGAACATCAAGTACAACCTGGATTTCTGGGTAAGGATGCTGATCTCTCTATTCACCCGGTGCTATACCAGCTGCACTGGCTCCCAGTGGAGTACAGGATCAGGTTCAAGGTGCTGGTTTTAACCTTTGAAGCCCTATACGGCCTAGGACCCTCGTACCTACGAGACCGCCTCTCCTGGTATGTCCTTCGGAGGACCTTACGGTCTTCAAATAAAAACATCTTGGAGGTCCCGGGCCACAGGGAGGTTAGGCTGGCCTCAACCAGAGCCAGGGCTTTTTCAGTTGTGGCCCCGATCTGGTGGAACGCTCTGTCACAAGAGTCTAGGGCCGTGAGGGACTTGACATCTTTCCGCAGGGCCTGCAAGACGGAGCTGTTCTACCAGGCCTTTGGCCAAGGTACAGCCTGACCCCCTCCTTTGGTAATTCTCATAGCACTCCATCTACCCAAATTAATGGTTGCCATTAATTTGACTCTGAATTGATTTTAGAATGAATTGATTTTAGAATGTATTTCAATTAATAGATTGTGATTTTATGGAAATTGTGTTACTTTTATTGTTGTTAGCCGCTCTGAGCCCGGCTTCGGCTGGAGAGGGCGAAGGTCCTCCGTGGGACATACCAGGAGAGGCGGTCCCGTAGGTATGAGGGTCCTAGACTGTATAAAATATTAAAACTTTTTTTGATTGCCTTGAATTTTCCTGCCATGCCAGGCACCAGAAAGCTTGGGACCAGTGGACTTGAGAGACCGCCTTCTATACCTGGTACAGAAGTCGGAAATGGCTGGAGGGCACCAGGTTAGGGCAGCTTGCCCTAAGGAGTGTGTGTCTTTTACCCCACAGAAGCCTTAGAAAATTGCTCCCCTCCCCTTTTCTGTCCTAGCCACCTGCTTGGCACAAGCCTGTAGCCTTTATTTATTTTTTATTGCTGCGAGAGATTAATCCCTCGCTGGCTTGGAGAGGTGGGGATCCATCTGCTCCCTACAGATGTCTGCCCCATCTCTTCCCCTCTCCTCCCTCTCCCGGATACGAGAAGCTTCTAGCGGTCAAGAGACGCACGTCCGCAGACTCTCGCACGCAAGGAACACATCGCACCGAGCTGGGTTTATTTGCTCCGAGGCGGGGCTGTGCAAGCCTGCAGCCACGTCATCCTTAATCCCAAAGGTCTGCTTCAGGAAGCAGAGAAAACTACAGATCCCAGAATGCTGTGCTCCTCCTGAGCTGCCTCCCCCAGCTTCGTTCAGGGGTCTGGCTTCTTTGCTGACCTGCGGCCAGACTGGGTGTGCTTCTTGATGCCAACGAAACTTAGCCTCCTGGTGTGTATTTTGCTTCACAGTAACAATGTTATGTAATGCAATGCAATGCAATGCAATGCAATATAATATAATATAATATAATATAATATAATATAATATAATATAATAATATAACATAATATAATATATACCCTGTCCATCTGGCTCGGCTTCCCCAGCCACTCTGGGTGGCTTCCAACTAAATATTAAAATACAGTGATACCTCTGGATGAATACGCTTCAGCTTAAATATTTCCGGGTTCGCTCCGCAGCGACCTGGAAGTAACGGAGCGCATTACTTCCGGGTTTTGCCGCATGCACAGATGCTCAAAATGACGTCACGCACATGTGGAGAAGTGGCGAAACGCGGCCCACACAATTGCTTATTATGTTCGCTTCAGGATGCGAACGGGGCTCCGGAGTGGATCCCGTTCGCATCCCGAGGTACCACTGTACAGTAATTCATCAAACATTAAAAGCTTCCCTAAACAGGGCTGCCTTCAGATGTCTTCTAAAAGTCTTGTACTTGTTTTTCTCTTTAACATCTGTTGGGAGGGTGTTCCACAGGGCGGGTGCCACTACCGAGAAGGCCCTCTGCCTGGTTCCCTGTAGCTTTGCTTCTCGCAGTGAGGGAACCGCCAGAAGGCCCTCAGAACTGGACCTCAGTGTCCGGGTAGAACGATGGGGGTGGAGACGCTCCTTCAGATATACTGGACCAAGATTACTTCTGGTCAATGAGCCACCATAGGCGCTAGAGGGCCGCGAAAATTTGTTTCCCGGGCTTTTGAGACTCGTCTACCCAGGTGCTATCTGAAACTGCCACATGTGATTCCCCCCCCCCAAGCTCTCCTACCCCACTGCTGTGGGCTTGGGAAGGCGGCACGGTGTTCAAAGTGCAAAATTGCACCTTTAAAAACCCACAAAATGAAATGAAAATCCGTTTCGGAAAAGGAGGAGAAATTCCTGGGATGTACTTTGAACAGAGACGGGTGTTTGATGCGTGGTTTCAAAATTACCGTGCACAACCTAAGGACAGCTGTGACTTTAAAGAAGAATGGGAACTTTTTGCAATCTATTTAAAAAGACAAGAAAATGATTTGGACTTCTTGGCAGGTTTTCAATAAACATACACAAATTTATTGGGTTAATATAGTGGATAGATAATAGAAGGATGTATACAATTTTACAATATGCAGAGAACAATATGAGTTGAGAAATCAGAGAGAGGAGCTGAGGGAAGTCTGGAGGGAGGGAGGGTTTGTTGGGGAGGTGGGAGGGGGGAAAGGGGGGGAATAATGAAGATTATTTGTATTGATGATTTGTTATGTTGAAATTTTTAATAATTTAAAAACAAAATTACCATTCTCAACTGCCCCCTTTGTACTCTGGTTGGAGGGGGGCGGTCCCCTGAGTGGTTGCCATGGGCACCAGGCTCCCTACCCCTCCCAGTTTTTAATCTTTTAAAACTAAGTAGGTTCGGTTATGGGGAGGGGTGCTCTCATTCTATTTATTTGTTTGTTTTTCAGGGGGGAGCGGTCGCCATTGCTGGCTTTTGGAGATGGGCTTCTGAGCTGTTACGTAAAATGCATATCTTGCGTCGCCCACAATACGGTCCTAGATTTTTGCCTGCAGAAATCTGGGAGACCCTTAAACTCCCCTCTTTTTTCTCTCCGCCCAGCGGAAGAACATGCACATCAATGACAACGTCCTGCACTCGGCGTACAAATCCGGTGTCCAGAAGGTGGTCTCCTGCCTCTCCACTTGCATATTCCCCGACAAGACCACCTACCCGATCGACGAGACCATGGTAGGGGCTGCCTCCTGATCTGCATGTTCTGTGCCCTTTTATTCACTAGAGCTCATGTGGCATAGTGGTTAGAGAGTGGGGAGACCAGGCTTCAATTTCCCACCCTGCCATGCAGCTCACTGGGTGACTTGGAGGCAGTCGCCGTTTCTTGACCTCGCCTACCTCGCAGGGTTCTTGTGGAGATAAAATGGGGAGTTGAGGGGAACTGCGTATACCACCTTGAAGGAAAAGTGGGATAGATATATAAAATGTAACAAATAATATATTTGTTTTTAAGAAGTTGGAAGGCTGCTCTTCCAAAAAAGGAAAACCCGGGTTCTGTGATCTGCAGAAATTAATTGTGGCGGCAGGCTCCGCCCCTTCTGTGATCAGGGCGGGGTCTGCTGCTACACTGCCACTCCCCCCACCCCATTCATTCTATCTAAGTAAGAATGTATAGAGAGATTTTGACTCTTTCTAAATCGTAAAGGTAAAGGGACCCCTGACCATTAGGTCCAGTCGCGGACGACTCTGGGGTTGCGGCGCTCATCTCGCTTTACTGGCCGAGGGAGCTGGCATACAGCTTCCGGGTCATGTGGCCAGCAGAACTAAGCTGCTTCTGGCGAACCAGAGCAGTGCACGGAAACGCCGTTTACCTTCCCGCCGGAGCGATACCTATTTATCTACTTGCACTTTGAATTGCTTTCAAACTGCTAGGTCGGCAGGAGCAGGGACTGAGCAACGGGAGCTCACCCTGTCGCGGGGATTTGAACTGCCGACCTTCTTATTGGCAAGTCCTATGCTCTGTGGTTTAACCCACAGCGCCAACCGCGTCCCTGCTAAATCATAGATCCAAAGAATTGTAGAGTTGGAACTGGCATTTTGTGCAACTGCCTGCAATGCAGGAATCACAGCTGACATTCCTTCACTCGTGAACCTAGAGGTCTTTCTGTCCTTCCCCACCCTGATTCTGGGGGTTCCAGCAATGGGGAGTCGGTGTTTTGTGGGTGGTGGTCCCACCTTTGACCCCGGGACATTTTGAACTCCCCGATCTGAACTGATGCTCTGCCTTCTCTTCCAGATCCACAACGGTCCCCCGCACAACTCCAACTTTGGGTATTCCTATGCAAAGAGGATGATAGACGTTCAGAACAGGTGGGCCCCGCTCCGATCTTCCCATTGCCCTCCATCCCACCCCAGAAAAGCTCTGCCACGCCCTCACCTGCCAAACTACCCCTTACCTCCCGATGTTATCAACTTCCAAAGAAATTCATTAGCAGCATGTTGGTATTTCTACGGGGTCTCTGGTTTTTCCTTAAAAAAACCTGATTAGTTGGATCGATATTAATCTGCCGATCATCCCCTGTAACAGAAAGTTCAGGTGGTGAGTGTTGTCAGACATTGAGCCACAGCTACAGGTGAAACTCGGAAAATTAGATGATCATCACAATTATAACAAATAAAGGCTTAACATATCTCGCTTTGCATGTCACGAGTCTATGTCATATATTAGTTTCACCTTTTAAGTTGAATTACGGAAATAAATGAACTTTTCCACGATATTCTAATTTTCTGAATTTCACCTGTAGGTCACCTGAAAAACAAGAGGGAGGTGATCAGTATTCGCAGGGGATCCCTGGAGTTTGAACTGCAAAACTACACACACACACACACACACACACAGTCGTACCTCGGAAGTCAAACAATCCGTTCCGGAAGTCTGCTTCACTTCCAAAACATTCGAAAACCAAAGCGCGGCTTCCAATTGGCTGCAGTTATTTTAAACATTTTTTCCAACTCATTATAAATCGTTTCCCAAAATAGCCTTTCAGATTTCAGCAGCGTCCGGAGCGAGGCCAAAATCCGTCGCCTCTCGCTTCCTGTTCTGCGTTTGCAGTGAGTCAGAGGGAGTCATAGCACCCTGAGGCGCCCCTCTCGGCTTGGCGCCAAGGGCAGGGGAGCCAGCCGCGATGCCCTAAATCTGCCTTGGTTGCTATAAGGCGGCTTCCCCCCTCGCGCAGCGCCAGGGACCGAACCTTTTCCATGCAACGGATTCCGGCCTCTTCTCCAGGAAGATCGCTAGCATCACACACCCACACACCCGCCCTGCCCACTTTCTTTCCCCAGGGCGTATTTTGAGCAGCACGGCTGCCGCTTCACCGCTGTCATTCCCACCAACGTCTTCGGACCCCACGACAACTACAACATTGAGGACGGGCACGTCCTGCCGGGCCTCATCCACAAAGTGTACTTGGCCAAGGGTGAGTGGGGCTGTGCGTCTGGCCTTGGGGCCTGAAATAGGAGAGGGTGGTGGTCTGGGGGGGGGGGAAGCTGCCTCCCTTGCAGCAGCGCTTCTTGAACTCGGGTCCGCAGACGTCGTTGGACTACAACTCCCATCATCCCTAGCTAGTGGTGGTCAGGGATAATGGGAGTTGCGGTTCAACAACCGCCAGGGACCCAGTTTTGAGAAGTACCACCTTACAGCCTGCCTGGCAACTGTGTTGGGAGATGGGACTACTCAGTCGGTAGACTCTTGATCTCAAGGTTGTGGGTTCGAGCCGCATGCTGGGCATTGCAGAGGGCTGGACTAGATGGCTCTGGTGGTCTCTTCTAATTCTGCGATTCCAAGATTCACGTGGTCAAATTGACTTCTGTTTGGTATGTGACCCATGAGGAGAGCATTTTCCAGAGCCTTTTCCAGGCTGAAGGCCCTGTTCTTGGTTAACCTCACGAGGGCCGCAGGCCAGGGGCGGGTACGTCTAAGGCTACCTTAGGTCCAGAGTGTGGCATGGGAGGTTTACAGCCCCTGGCAGAGCATTTGCGTAATGGTTAGAGTATTGGACTAGGACCTGGGGGAACAGGGTTCAAATCGTTCCGCCCAGACACTGAGGTCCAGCTGCGAGGGCCTTCTGGCGGTTCCCTCACTGTGAGAAGCCAAGTTACAGGGAACCAGGCAGAGGGCCTTCTCGGTGGTGGCGCCTGCCCTGTAGAACGCCCTCCCACCGGATGTCAAAGAGAAAAATAACTAGACAATAAGACATCTGCAGGCAGCCCTGTTTAGGGAAGTGTTTAATGTTTAGTAGGTTATTGTATTTTAGTGTTTTGCTGGAAGTCGCCCAGAGTGGCTCGGAAAACCCAGCCAGATGGGCGAGCATAAATAATAAATTATTATTATTATTATTATTATTATTAATCCCCGCTCAAACACGAAGCTCACCAAGTGACCTTGGGACAGTCATAGAGACCTTCAGGCATCCTCTAGTCTGGCCTTTCTCAACCTGTGGGTCCCCAGATATTGTTGAACTACAACTCCCATCACCCCTAGCTAGCAAGGTCAGAGCTCAGGGATGATGGGAGTTGTAGTCCAACAACATCTGGGGATCCACAGGTTGAGAAACACTGCACCCCCTGCGACGTAATCTCCATCTCCTAGTCAAACCTACCTCACAGGATCGTTGTGGAGTTGGACTGGAGAAGAGGAGATCCACTAGGCCACCTTCATATCCTTGGAAAAATTTTATCTTTCGGTGAATATTTTTATTAAGATCCTTGGAAGATGAAGTTGATATGTAAATAATAACAACAATTGTATTGCATTGTGGCTGAGTGTGGGGGCTGAGTTTGGGCATGAGAAAGGGGTCTGTGATCCCAGGGTCTCATTTGATCCCAACACGAGAAGCAGCTGGAATGGGAAGACTTGAGTGCTTTTTTGCAGCAAAGGGGGAAGGAGTAAGGATGCTCTGTAACTGGTCGTTTTCTCCACTCATCTGTAGAAAACGGTACGGCTCTCACTGTCTGGGGGACAGGAAAACCCAGGAGGCAGTTCATCTACTCTCTGGTAAGCTGGCTGGTTGAGAGGGAGAGTTGTCAGGGGAAAATACAGTGTGGGGGAAATGTAAGAAGATCCCAGCTGCCACATCGAGCTAGAACGGGTCAGCAACCTTTTTCAACTGTGGGCCGGTCCACCGTCCCAAAGACCTTGTGGGGGACCGGACTATATTTTGGAAAAAAAAATATGAACGAATTCCTGTGCCCCACAAATAACCCAGAGGTGCATTTTAAATAATGGGACACATTCTACTCATGTAAAAACACCAGGCAGGCCCCACAAATAACCCAGAGATGCATTTTAAATAAAAGGACACCTTCTACTCATGTAGAAACACGCTGATTCCCGGACCGTCTGTGGGCCAGATTGAGAAAGCGATTGGGCCGGATCCGGCCCCTGGGCCTTAGGTTGCCTACCCCTGAGCTAGAAGGTGTGCAGAGGGTGGCCAAGATGACCAAGGGTCTTGAAACCGAGCCTGATGAGGAACGGTTGAAGGAGTTAGGGATGTTTGGAGAAGCCTGAGAGGTTATAGGATAAGGTAAAGGTAAAGGGACCCCGACCATTAAGTCCAGTCATGACCGCCTCTGGGGTTGCGGCGCTCATCTTGCTTTATTGGCCGAGGGAGCCGGTGTACAGTTTCTGGGTCATGTGGCCAGCAGGACTGAGCCGCTTCTGGCGAACCAGAGCAGCGCACAGAAACGCCGTTTACCTTCCCGCCGGAGCGGTACCTATTTATCTACTTGCACTTAATGTGCTTTCGAACTGCTAGGTGGGCAGGAGCAGGGACCGAGCAACGGGAGCTCACCCTTTTGCTGGGATTCGAACCGCCGATCGGCAAGTCCTAGGCTCTGTGGTTTAACCCACAGCACCACCCGCATCCCTTATAGGATAGCCATCTTCAAATATCCGAAGGGTTGTCCGTTGGAAGATGGAGCAAGCCTGTTTTCTGCTGCTCCAGAGGTCCCTTTGTCTCTGAGGGTTTGGAAGGGGCAGGCAAGCGTTTGAGGACTAGGGTGGACCAGCCTTAACTCTGCGACACCCCCAAGCAACGTTGTATGTGGGACCCTGTGAAGGTGGGGGCACCCCAAGGCTCCAGCAGAACAGCCCCTCTTGGAGCGGAAGAGAGGAGACGAACGGATATCTGGTCTCTGGTTGTTGCAGGACTTGGCGCGGCTGTTCCTCTGGGTCCTGAGGGAATATGATGAAGTGGAGCCCATCATCTTGTCGGGTAAGGCCCTCCCCATGCAGAATTGAACACACAATACACACACACATGTTGCCCCAAACCAACATTTACCGTATTTTTCGCTCCATAAGATGCACTTTTTCCATCCTAAAAAGTAAGGGGGAAATGTCTGCGCGTCTTATGGAGCGAATGTGTGGTCCCTGGAGCCAAATTGCCCAGGGGCAAAAAGCAGATTGTGCAATTATTGTTTTTTGAAAGAAGGAAGTGGGTGTTGAAACAAAGCCGCTGATCGTTTGCCGATCGGGGAGAGAGATAAGGGACGCTAGAGATAAAGGAGGCTGCCTGGGAGGGGGAGGTAAAGACAGCAAACTTGCAAAGGGGGGGGGGGGAACAGGAAGACTAAAGCAATAAGGAGAGAAATTAGAAGAAAAGGAGGAGCAAAAAACTGCTCCAGCTAAGGAAAAGACACTAAGGCAAACAAGAGGAAAGGGGGTGTTGAAAGGAAGCAGCTGATCGGTGGGATGGGGAGAGATAAGGGACGCTAGCGGAGGCTGCCTGGGAGGGGAGAGGTAAAAGCCCATAGATCCTCAGGGTTTTTGCATTGGGTCACCCCAAATTTACCATCAGATCACATAGCATGTCCATGGCTACAGCCTGCACCAAAAAAAACCATCCACTGTTTTCTGGGGCTGCATGGTGCAAAAACGTGGTTACAAAGCACGGATCCACATGGATCCTCAGAATTTTTGCATTGGGTCACCCTAAATTCACCATCAGATCACATGTCTGTGGTCACAGCATGAACCACAAAAATCATACATCCAGTTTCATTCAGAATATTTTTTTTCTTGTTTTCCTCCTCTGAAAACTAGGGTGCGTCTTATGGTCAGGTGCGTCTTATGGAGCAAAAAATACAGTAGATCGGGAAACGCTTTTAAATGCTGGGTCTCAGTCTCAGGACGTGGGGCTTCATTACACAACTTTTCCTCTGTTGGAAGCTTTTAAACGGAGTTTGGATGCCCATCGGTTGCTTATTCTTCAGCTGAGATTCCTGCATTGCAGGGGTTGGGATAGATGACCCCCAGGGTCCCCATAATTCTGTGATTCTGTGAGTCAACAGAATGGCATGCCCCAAACTCTCACACCCTCTTTCTCCTTGCTTTTCCTATCCAGCCAGGGCAGGAGCCTCTTTCAACTTGAGGGGCCACATCTCCCCATTGGCGGCCTTTTTGGGGCCACAGACCCATAGATCTGCATTTGCAGAGCAATTTATTCCATTTTCACGCCATTTTCTGAACTCTTGATTTCTGCCTTAAGTTTGAGCTTTCAAGTGAGCCAAAACCACTTCCAGAAATGCAGTGGAATCGATTGCTCCCCTTTCTGTGCTGTTTGTAAATGAATTTTTCTCCCCGCAAGCAGGTTAGCATAGAATTCAGTGCTAACCTTGCTCTGTATTCCGCTGTGAGTGGAGGAAATCCCTCTCTCAGAATTCAGGAGGCGGCAGGCCAGTGGGCGTCAGAATGACCTACCGTATTTTTCGCTCTATAAGACGCGCCCGACCATAAGACGCACCTAGTTTTTAGAGGAGGAAAACAAGAAAGCAACGCAAAGCCTCTTGAGCGAAGAGGCAGGAGCGCTCCCGCTGCACTCAAGAGGCTTTGCATGGCTATCCCCGAAGCCAGAAGAGCAAGAGGGATCGGTGCTTCTGGGATAGCTGCGCAGCCTCTTCAGGGCAGCGGGATGAAGGCTTTGTGAGATTTCACCAGCTCCGGCCCATCTGGAGCTGATACAGGCTCGTCTTATCTTGAGCCCAAGCAGAGCGTAGCCCCGCAGACGAAAGGATAAGCAGGTAATGTGCTACATGCTGAAGTTTATTTACAAGCTATTCTGAGAGCATACAACATACATCTTGCCTCTGTGAGAGCAGAGAAGCAACTTCTCTCGACACAAAGAAACCGAGAGAACAGTGAAAAGCAGGAAACCAGTGTACGTCACATCCAGTCTCCCATTCCCGTGGGAACCCAACAGTAACTTGAACTGTGGAATGTAAACATTGTCTTGTGACAAGCAGTTGCTGCACAGTGAGGGAAATAGAAACCAACAAGCTTCTCGCTGCCCTGCGCGCGGCTAAGCCAGAAGCTAGAACAGTGAGAGGGAGCGCTGCGCAGCAATCCCTCTCGCTGTTCTAGTTTCTGGGATAGCTGTGCATCCTGCATTCGCTCCATAAGATGCACACACATTTCCCCTTACTTTTTAGGAGGGGAAAAGTGCGTCCTATAGAGCGAAAAATACGGTATATGGCCCTGGGCAGTGGAGTTCACTTCCATAACGGTGTTGTTTTGCCTTCTGTCTGTTTAGTCGGAGAAGAGGATGAAGTCTCCATTCGGGAAGCGGCTGAATGTGTGGTGAGAGCGATGGACTTCAAGGGAGAGCTTCTTGTATCCTTGCACATAGTTTCCCAAGGCCCTGCAACTCCTCTCAAGGACGCCGCAAGGGCTGTGTCCTTTTCTGGGTTCGCCTCCTCTCTTCTTATGCAAAGCAGTACAGATGGTCCCACTCTTCCCCTTGAAATTGTTTCCTCCGCCGGCAAAAAGCAAAGGCTTCCATATGGTCCCTGCATGTCTTCTTCCCTTCCCCAAAAGGGCAACTGATGCCAACGTGGGTGTTTTTTCCCCATTGGGAAAAGGGTTTACAAACCAGAATCGCACCTTCTTCCCACTCCAAGCTGAATTGGGGCCTTGTGCAGCCACTATTCAATTTTTTAAAAAAACCACAAAACTACTACAGAATCTCCTTCTCATAACTCTTCCACTTTGTGTGTCGTTGCTCCTTTCAGAGCAAGGTTTCCAAAAACTTGGGTCTCCGGCGGCTTTTGGACTACAACTCCCATCATCCCAGTGGTCAGGGATGATGGGAATTGTAGTCCCAAAGCAGCTGGAGACCCAAGTTTGGGAAACACTGTTTTTAGAGGAAGGGATGGGGAACCACTTCCGGGCCACATGGCAGTGGCAGGTGAGGCCAGAGCTGTGCCCCCCCCCAAATCAGCAGAAAGAAGTTTTATTCCCTTAACTTGGACCCCTTCTTAGTTTGATACAACGAAGTCGGATGGGCAGTTCAAGAAAACAGCCAGCAACAGCAAGCTGAAGAGATACCTCCCCGATTTCCAGTTTACACCATTTGAGCGAGGTGAGAACAGCGCAGCTCTTGCTCCTCGCAGCCAGGGTTGGGATGGGAGCGGCTGTAAACGAGCTTAATCCAGGGCGCCATTTATTCTGAGAGCAGCTGCTCTCCAAGATTGAGATCCTGGCCTAGCCTTCAGACGGATTGTGCTTGAGCAGCAACAACAGAATCGCCAAACCCACAGCCTTGGGTGACGGCAAGGTGAGACCCACCCTTGTCCTGCAACCTGCTGCTTCTCTCTGAGCAGCTTGAGTCCTTTGCCCAGTAGCTAGCAAAATAACCTGCTTTATATTTATTAAGAAGTTTCTACTACTTGATAAAGGGACGCGGGTGGCACTGTGGGTTAAACCACAGAGCCTAGGACTTGCCGATCGGCGGTTCGAATCCCCGCGATGGAGTGAGCTCCTGTTGCTCAGTCCCAGCTCCTGCCAATCTAGCAGTTCGAAAGCACGTCAAAATGCAATTAGATAAATAGGTACCGCTCCGGCAGGAAGGTAAACGGCGTTTCCGTGCGCTGCTCTGGTTCGCCAGAAGCGGCTTAGTCCTGCTGGCCACATGACCCGGAAGCTGTACGCCGGCTCCCTCGGCCAGTAAAGCGAGATGAGCGCCGCAACCCCAGAGTCGGCCACGACTGGACCTAATGGCCAGGGGTCCCTTTACCTTTACTACTTGATAAAGAAACAACCTATCTCTGGGGTTTACATAAAAAGGTAGAAAAGCATGCACTAAAACTAGCAATTAGACATGATAAAATTTCGCAACATGGGTAAAATCAACAACTTCAAGAATTAATATGCCTAGTACAATTGGGTAGCCTTGACTGAGCAAAGAGGTATTGAAAATGGAAGGAATTCCAGAGCATAGGAGCTGCTAGAATAAAAGATCAGATTCTTGGCGAGTGTGGAATGAAGATCATTTGCTATGTACGAGATTGCCAGTTCCACACATTGAAGTGGTCAGGTGGGCACTTAAGGGGGCAAATCCTTTGTGTCAGCTGCTTCATGCCACAACACTTACCCCTATGTTAATAATAATAATAATAATAATAATAATAATAATTTATTTGTACCCCGCCCATCTGGCTGGGTTTCCCCAGCCACTCTGGGCTGCTTCCAGCAAAACACTAAAATACAATAACCTATTAAACATTAAAAGCTTCTCCAAACAGGGCTGCCTTCAGATGTCTTCTAAAAGTTTGGTAGTTATTTTTCTCTTTGACATCTGGTGGGAGGGCAGGTGCCACCACCAAGAAGGCCCTCTGCCTGGTTCCCTGTAACTTGGCTTCTCGCAGTGAGGGAACTGCCAGAAGGCCCTTGGAGCTGGACCTCTAAGGGACATTTATGATTTTTTATTTATTTAAAAAATCAGCAGCAGTTTACATCAGTAGCTGTGCACAGCTTACTGAAACATTAGCAAGCACATCTTGATAATAATAATTAATAATTATAACTTTTTATTTGTATCCTGCCCTTCCCAGTCAAAGCCGGGCTCAGAGCGGCTAACAACAATAAAATAGTACAACATTCTAAAATCATTTCATTATAAAATTAATTCACATCAAATTGATGGCAACCATTGGGCTAGAGTTCTGTGTAGACTGCCAAAGGAGGGAGTCAGGCTGTGCCCTGGCCAAAGGCCTGGTGGAACAGCTCTGTCTTGCAGGCCCTGCGGAAAGATGTCAAGTCCCGCAGGGCCCTAGTTTCCAGTGACAGAGCTTTCCACCAGATCGGGGCCACAGCTGAAAAAGCCCTGGCTCTGGTTGAGGCCAGCCTAACCTCTCTGTGGCCTGGGACCTCCAAGATGTTTTTGTTTGAAGATCGTAAGTTCCTCTGTGGGACATACCAGGAGAGGCGGTCCCGTAAGCACGAGGGTCCTAGGCCGTATAGGGCTTTAAAGGTTAAAACCAGCACCTTAAACCAAGGGAACAGACACAGCAGGCATGCGGCCGGGCAGTCTCTCATGACTTGGGGCCACTGTCCGGATCTGGCAGGCCGTAAACTTCAAAAACTGGGTGGGGGGGGGAAATGCATTTTATTTATTTAGGCAATCTGTAACTGCATCGTCGGGGACGTGGGTGGCGCTGTGGGTAAAAGCCTCAGCGCCTAGGGCTTGCCGATCGAAAGGTCGGCGGTTCGAATCCCCGCGGCGGGGTGCGCTCCCGCTGCTCGGTCCCAGCGCCTGCCAACCTAGCAGTTCGAAAGCACCCCCGGGTGCAAGTAGATAAATAGGGACCGCTTACTAGTGGGAAGGTAAACGGCGTTCCGTGTGCTGCGCTGGCTCGCCAGAGTAGCTTCGTCATGCTGGCCACGTAACCCGGAAGTGTCTGCGGACAGCGCTGGCCCCCGGCCTATAGAGTGAGATGGGCGCACAACCCTAGAGTCTGTCAAGACTGGCCCGTATGGGCAGGGGTACCTTTACGTTTACCTTTAACTGCATCGTCATTCAGGTCAGTCCCAGAGCAGGACATAACAAGAATGCCAGAAGAAAAAAAAAACCAACTATAACAGCTGTGCATTGGGATTACATCCATGAGTTTTCTGGAGGCACCTTAGCTGTAAACTGAGGAGCTTAGACATGGTCTGTTCCTCTGGAAAAAGCAGCTCTCCAATCTCCCAAAATCTGGATGCCATTGGCCCCAGCTGATCGTTCTTCTCTTCTTCCCGCAGCTGTGAAGGAAACGTGCGACTGGTTTTGCGCCAACTACGCCATTGCCAGGAAATGACCAAAGGAATGGTACCAGGGTGGCCCAACAGTGACCAACGCTGCTGTCTGCAATTTTTGCATCAAACTCAGGTTTTTTTGTTTTGCTGGAATAAAGAATGAGAACAAAAGGGACCGTTTTGGGTGCCGGGATAGGGTGCAAGCCATGCTTTTTCTGACTCTGGGGTGATAGTTTAGTTTAGCTCTTTAAAGATGGCACAGCTTGCTTATTTATGAAGCAGTACTCAGCAGAATTGGTGGACGGAGGGGGCTTGTGGTGGTGGCATTCACGTTCTTAAAGAGCAGCTTTCAGCACTCTAGACGACTGGTGGAAATCATGGGAGAGGGGTGGCAGGCATGTTGCACTTGTCCCCTATTCACGATAATTGGCCTCTGTGACCTGTCCTGTTGCACCAGAGTCCTTTCTTGGAGCAGAGCGCTGCTAACTGCGCCAAGGTCACCTTATGTTTTGGGGAAGAGACCCCGTTTCCCACGGCCAAAGCTGATGTGGCTGTAGGAACCCTTTCAGTCTCGGAAGAAGAAGTGACCTGATCTTCTAATCCAACCCTCAAAACAAATACTTGAAGAGACCCTGTGCGCTTTTCAAAATTCCTGTTACGCATATTGTCACGGGCTCAAAGCTCAGGGATAGAGCATGCCCTTCGCTGCACCCTCTCCAGCGTCCGAAGCTCAGTGTCCCACATTGTGGGTTTGGGGTAGGGTGAGGGGCTACATCTGCCGCAATTTTTTAAACCCTTGCTTGCCTCAGGAAGCCCAAGGATGGGTGACCTCCAGTTATTTTATTTCTGAAAGACTTATGGAAAAGAGATGGGGAGGTTAGGAGCTCGTTGCAGCAAACCAGATGCCAAAGGCAGGCGCTGTTACTCCGAGGTAACAACTGCAGTGCTGGCTAGGGGGGCGTTGATGGGAGCTGTGTCCCCAAACAGCCCGAGGGCGCCAGGTTGGAGAAGGCTGGGCTACCAGAGGAGCCAGCCAGCCGGAGTCCTCCATTTGGTAGCCGTTTTAAATATTTCTTTAGCTCATCTCACTTTGACCTGTCAGAAAAAGAACACCACTGTAATAAAACTTGACAATAAACCAGTTATTTCTTATGCTTGTGGCCTTCCTCTAGCCCATATTTCCTACCCAAATCTGTTTTTATTCCTTAGTTCTGTCTTCCCACAACCCTGGCGTATCTTAAATAAAATGAGTCTAGCAGCAAGTTTGGCATCCTGGAAGCACTCTTGTTTTGGGAAACATAATCCACAAGTGATGTTCACCTGAAATAGTTTTGCCTGCTCTGATTCCCCAGAGTAGTTTCACACTCAATTCCTCTTCCCCAGGGAACTCCGAGAGTTATAGCTCCTAACAAGTCTCAGCAACCTGAACTACGCTTCCTGCGATTTTTCACTATAGCAGACAGCCATTAGTTTCCTCTTTAACTGGTTCTTCCCAGTCTTGTGGTCCGTTCTCATTCCTACGTCTGTGGCACCAGCCTCGCCGATGGCAGGTTTTGCAGAATTCCCACCTAACCATGAAAGGATGCCCACTTTGGATAGGCAGGTACAGTCATACCTCAGCTTACAGAGTTTTCAGGTTGCGCACCGCGCCGAACCCAGAAGTACCGGAACAGGTTACTTCTGGGTTTCGGCACTCGCACATGCGCACAACCACTAAATCACGCATGTGCAGATGCGACACTGCGGGTTGCAAACATGCCTCCCGCACAGATCATGTTCGCAACCTGAGCGTCCACTGTATTGGTACAGAAGGGAAGAAAAAGAGAGCTATTGGTCAAAACATTTATTAAACGTAAACCTGGCAACTTTCACATAAAATAAATTGGTGCAGAAACATGGATTGTCTGCGAAACCTTTGCACTCAAAGTCCTTGCAGAAGCACCTGCGATCGAGGCAGTAGACAAAATTGTTCTTAGGGGTTCAGCACGACCATCGTGGGAACTAAGAGATGGACAACACGCACAATTAGATCTGCATTTTTGAAAAGAGTTGGTGGTGGCTATGGCCTTAAAATGCTTTGCCTTCCAGCCACGCTCCAACACAGGCCGACGAGTCAGAACAGAAGGAGTTTGTGCTCTTAATCTGCAGGGCTTCAGATGCCAGTTTTCTCTTGGGCAAGTTGAGTCGGATCCAGAGGGACATCAGATTGTCGTTCGTTCAGCTTCAGAAGCGCAAACAAGTGTAATTTTAGAAAGAAGGCCCTCCCTCGTCAAAAATTGAGCACCAGGAATGGTGGTACCTGAGCCGCGAGCCCACAAGCAGCATCTCTGCTGAGTCTCAGCATCCATCCGTTGGGAACCTTAAAAGCAGGCACCCGATTGGCTGGTGTAGGAGGACTGACCAGAAGCATGGACGTGGCAGAAGACGTGGCCTGGTACAGCCTTCTTCCTGCACTGATGTCCGGTCCTGGTGACTCCTTGGCAGGGTGGGCGTGGAGTCAGGGAGGAGTTGGACCTGGAATGAATATATATCAAGAGAGAAAGATGGGTGATAATGAGGCCAGTTAGAGGAACCATCTGATATTAATGTGGTTTCCGGCAACTGAGATTCATTAATGTGGTTTCCGGCAACTGAGATTCAGAGGCATTGCTGAGATTCAGAGGTGCGCAGCCTGGGAGTCATTCTGGACTCACAGCTGTCCATGGAGGCGCAGGTCAATTCTGTGTCCAGGGCAGCTGTCGACCAGCTCCATCTGGTGAGCAGGATGAGACCCTACCTGCCCGCGGACTGTCTCGCCAGAGTGATGCTCTGGTTATCTCCCACTTGGACTACGGCAATGCGCTCTACGTGGGGCTACCTTTGAAGGTGACCCGGAAACTGCCAAAAAGAACAACAACTACCAGACTTTTAAGAAGACATTTGAAGGCAGCCCTGTTTAGGGAAGCTTTTAATGTTTGATGTATTACTGTATTTTAATATTTGGTTGGAAGCCGCCCAGAGTGGCTGGGGAAGCCCAGCCAGATGGGCGGGGCATACATATATTATTATTATTATTATTATTATTATGATTATTAGTGTTAGTATTATTGCTGCCTCTGACCGTGGAGGCAGGGCAGAGCCATAGTGGCTAGGAACCATCCATAGCCCTTTCCTCCTTCATGAATTTGTCGAATCTTTTAAAGCCATCCAGGTTGGTGGCCATACGCCACCTACTGTGGCAGGGAGTTCCACAGTTTGATCTGTGTGCTGAAGTGCTTCCCTTTATCCATCCTGAATCTTCGCAACATTCAGCTTCGTTGGACGTCCACACATTCTCATGCTATGCTGCAGTGTGCGATACTCAGAGGTAGCCTGCCCCGGAGAGTGGAGGCTCCATTTAGACATCACGCCCGAAAGAGATCTCGTCGATCGTATCAATCCGCTGACAAAAGGGCACGTCAGGTTTTGTTACTTACACATCGCTGGCCATGGACTCGTTTGGGGAACTGGTCCTTGAGATGGGAAAGTTGAAGGCTGAGTCCAGGCGGTGGTGGGGGAATTTCTCCAAAGCGGCCTGTTGGGAAGAGAAAAGGCTTTGGGAGGGTGGGTGCCTTATGGCCAAGAAAAGAGCAAACTCATGCATGTGCAGATTTCTGGCACTGAACCTCCTAACTTGTGCGTAACCCTTTTGTGGACTGATTAATTTATTTATTTTTTAAATGGAAGATTTGCATTGGAGAATCATCTACTCTGAGCCCGGCTTTGGCTGGGGAGGGCAGGATATAAATTTATTATTATTATTATTATTATTATTATTATTATTATTATTACTCATCTGACCAGGCGACCCAAATACCCCAAGGCTAGGGCCAAATTACTGGGAGTGTTTGGGGAGAGTGGGAAATTGCAAAGGAGAACATAGGAGGATACACCAAGTCAGACTATACAGTGGTACCTCAGGTTAAGTACTTAATTCGTTCCGGAGGTCTGTACTTAACCTGAAACTGTTCTTAACCTGAAGCACCACTTTAGCGAATGGGGCCTCACACTGCCTCCGCACGATTTCTGTTCTCATCCTGAAGCAAAGTTCTTAACCCGAGGTACTATTTCTGCGTTAGTGGAGTCTGTAACCTGAAGCGTATGTAACCCGAGGTACCACTGTATTAGTAAGCCCGGCGATGTTTCTCTGACTGCACACAGCTCTCCAGAATCTCTGGCAGGAGAACCAGTTAAGAGTGTTGGGAGTAGGAGATGTGGGTTCAAATCCTCCATCAGCCACGAAGCTCACTTGGGTGACCTTGGGGGCCAGTCACTCAACTCTCAGCCTAACCCACCTCACAAGGTTGTTGGGGACATAAAATAGGGAGCAGGGGAACAATGCACAGCACACCTTGGAGGAAAAGTGAGATATTAATGCGCATGGGCAGAGACAGACAGGAAATGGCTTTCCCCATCACTGAAGACGTGGTTTTTCTACCTCTCTCCAACAGGCCTTTTCTGTGCTGGCTCCCCATCTGTGGAATGCTCTCCCCAGAGCGGCTCGCCTGGCACCATCGTTACATGTCTTTAGGTGCCAGGAAAAAGTATTTCTCTTTACCCAGGCCTTTGGCTATTCAATGATCTATGGCCTGTTAAATGTGTGTGGGTGTTGTTCTGAATACTTTGTTATTATGCCCTATATTGTGGTTTTTTATTATGATGCTGGGTAAAATAAGTTCTGTGGGACACGGGTGGCGCTGTGGGTTAAACTACAGAGCCTAGGACTTGCTGATCAGAAGGTCAGCGTTTTGAATCCCCGCGATGGGGTGAGCTCCCGTTGCTCAGTCCCTGCTCCTGCCCACCTAGCTGTTCGAAAGCATGTCAAAGTGCAAGTAGATCAATAGGTACCCCTCCAGCGGGAAGGTAAACGGCGTTTCCATGCGCTGCTCTGGTTCGCCAGAAGCAGCTTAGTGATGCTGGCCACATGACCCGGAAGCTGTACGCCGGCCAATAAAGCGAGATGAGCGCCGCAACCCCAGAGTCGGCCACAACTGGACCTAATGGTCAGGGGTCCCTTTACCTTTACCTAAAATAAGTTCTTAATGTTGTACACCTTCCTGGGATCTTTGGATAAAGCATATAAATAGAATAAATGACAAAAGCAACTGAAGTTTGCTTAACGATGGAAGATTCACAACGGCCTCGGTCCTGTATACCTGAAGGAGTGTCTCCACCCCCATCATCCAGCCCAGACACTGAGGTCCAGCGCCGAGGGCCTTCTGGCGGTTCCCACGCTGCGAGAAGTGAGGTTTACAGGGAACCAGGCAGAGGGCCTTCTCGGTGGTGGCACCTGCCCTGTGGAACGCCCTCCCAGCAGATGTCACAGCAATAAACAACTATTTTACTTTTAAAATACACCTGAAGGCGGCCCTGTTTAGGGAAGTTTTTAATGTCTCACGCTGCATTGTTTTTTAATATTTGGTTGGAAGCCGTCCAGAGTGGCTGGGGAGATCCAGTCAGATGTGCGGGGTATAAATTATTATTATTATTATTATTATTATTATTATTATTATTATTATTATTATTATTATTAAACTGACAAAAGCAAGTGCTTATTCTGCCTGGACACTGAGGTCCAGCTCTGAGGGCCTTCTCTGCGAGAAGCCAAGTTACTGGGAACCAGGCAGAGGGCCTTCTCGCTAGTGGCACCCGCCCTGTGGAACGCCCTCCCACCAGATGTCAAAGAGAACAACAACTACCAGACTTTTAGAAGACATCTGAAGGCAGCCCTGTTTAGGGAAGCTTTTAATGTTTGATGTATTACTGTATTTTAATATTTGGTTGGAAGCTGCCCAGAGTGGCTGGGGAAACCAGATGGGTGGGGTATAAATAATAATAATAATAATAATTATTATTATTATTATTATTCACCTAGCACCAACTTGGACTGTGGAACTCGCTGCCACAAGAGGTTGTGATCGTTTCCCTCAGCTGCTCATGTCCCCAAAAACAGTGGGACAGAGTAGGGTTTGAAGTGGAACTCCACAGAAGTTCAAGGGTTGGTGAGTTTTTCGAACCGGAAACATCTCCAAACACTACACACCCAAGGCAGACTTCTTCCCTCCCCGCGTTCAGCACAAGACAGCTAAGCAGTTTCCCCAAATACCTCATGCCTGCTGGAGCGAGTCAGACTTTGGCGCCGAAGGCTCATAGGGTGAGGGGAATAGCTTCTCTGAGGCTTCCAGCCCGTTGCAGGATGAATTGTGCCTTCCTCCAGAAAGATGCTCTCGCCCTTCATTGGAGAATCTCTCGCCAGGTGAGAGTCACCTGCGACACAAAGATTGCAAATATTGGGCATAGGATGGGGCTAATGGTGGAGACATACCTTTGCCATTTACGACAGAATTCCAAGGACCAGTGTATTCTCTGTTCAGAAGAGGGGGGGAACCAAACCCAGCTTCCCAGCAAAAGCTAGCAAACATAACACACAAAGTTTTAAGTGTCTATATGCTTATCGCATGTATAAATTTTAAATTTATTGTTGTACATTGTTTTAATTGTTTGTTTTCCTTCTGTGACTGTACCCCCAAGTGTGTTTTATAAGCTGGTCTCCGACCGTAATAAATGATCTATCTATCTAACACAGCTGAGTACTGCTTCAAAGGTTAAAGCGCAAAGCCTCTAGTCCACATGGAGGTGGGAAGGGAAAGCACCCGTTTTTGTGCTGCAAGTTTAAAGCTTCAGAATCCAGAATGGAAATGCATTTCATTAAGTTATTTTAAGTTATTTCATAAGATTTATGCACCGCTTGATCGTCAAACTTCTCAAAGCAGTTTGCAAAAAAATAAAATTATCAGTAAGAAAAATGAATGGCAATAGCATAAGACCTTCAAAAAGAACAAAAAGGGATTAAAACTCACATCAACTTTCTAAATACCTGGGTGGGCATGTCTAAAGAAAAATGCTTTTAGCAGGCACCAAAAAGATATCAAGAAGCAGGGAGTTCCAAAGTTGCTAAGGGCTTTATATGCAATTGAAACACATGATGCTCAATGTGACACAGATGGGGAAGAATTTAAATACCTGCTTAGCCAGAAAAAAACCCCTCAGAGGTTGGGGCTAGAGAAGTCATTATATAGAATTCATGTCACAGGATAATAAAATATAATTAATAATAATAATAATAAATTTATTATTTATACCCCAGCCACTCTGGGAGGCTCCCAACAGAATATTAAAAGCACATTCAGATGACAACAGGATATATTCTGCAACACCTACAGACTTTGCTGTAAGCAAAAAGAAAGAAAGATTTGCTACAAACCGGATTCTTCTCTAACATGTTTCCTGATCAACACAGTTGGCAGAAGAGCTGCTTTCTGGACAGTGAATGCAAGTCATCACCCCCAACCCTCAAGCCTTTGTTCTTGGCTCCCTAAAGCCGCTGCCATGCACACCTGAGGATTGCTCACCTGTCGCGTAGCTCAAGTCCCCCAGCTTCTCCAGTTCCCTTTTCAGGAGACCAACCTCACCTTCGCTGCGGAGAGGAGAGGAGAGGCCAATCAATCATTTTCTCGCTGCTTTATCTTGCTCAGTAGTACCGTATTTTTCGTCCCATAGGACGCTCCGTCCCATAGGGCTGCCTAGGCTGTGGGTGTGTTCCCGAAGCGCCGGGCGCTCTGCTTTCAGGGCGCCCGACACTCCGGGAAGTAGGCTGCTATCCGCAGCCTAGACATCCCTGCGGGACCTCCCGCAGGGCTGCCTAGGATGCGGATGTCTTCCTGAAGCCTGGAGAGCGAGAGGGGTCGGTGTGCACCGACCCCTCTCGCTCTCCAAGCTTCAGCGAAAGCCTGCATTCGCCCCATAGGACACACCCAGATTTCCCCTTCATTTTTGGAGGGGGAAAAGTGCGTCCTATAGGGTGGAAAATACGGTATCTCTCCACGGTTTCAGGCAGGGGTACTGCCCAGCCCTGTGGGACGTGGGTGGCACTGTGGGTTAAACCACTGAGCCTAGGGCTTGCTGATCAGAAGGTTGGCGGTTCGAATCCCCATGACGGGGTGAGCTCCCGTTGCTCGGTCCCTGCTCCTGCCAACCTAGCAGTTCGAAAGCACGTCAAAGTGCAAGTAGATAAATAGGTACCGCTCCAGCGGGAGGGTAAACGGCATTTCCGTGCGCTGCTCTGGTTCGCCAGAAGCAGCTTAGTCCTGCTGACCCGGAAGCTGTACGCTGGCTCCCTTGGCTAGTAAAGCGAGATGAGTGCCGCGACCCCAGAGTCGGTCACGACTGGACCTAACGGTCAGGGGTCCCTTTACCTTTACTGCCCAGCCCTACTCGGAGACGATGGAGACTGAGCCTTCTAAAGGCCTTCAGCTGTTCCATCATTGAGCCCCAGCCCTCTTCTGCCAGAGAACCTGCGTATTCCAGAGTTTCATGGAATCTTAGAGCTGGGAGGGACCCCTTGGGGTCATCCATCTCAACCCCCTGCAACGCAAGAATCTCAGCTCAAGCATCCATGGTAGGTGGCCCCCCAAGCTCTGCTTAATCCAACTGTAGCCTTATTAGACTTTACCGACTGGTGGGGTCTGCGTTGCTCCCGGGAGGGAGGGAGGAAGTCAAATGACACCGAGGTTGATTCAGAGAAAGAGTTTATTCTGCTCTCCGGATAGCAGAAGGCACTTGCGTGGTCAGTCCACAGCAAGTCCAAAGAAACGAGAAATTTCATGCAGTATATATATCCTCCAGGCACCCTCCCCCCCCTTCCCCAGGAATCCAACCACGTACAGTGGTGCCTCGCAAGACGAAATTAATTCGTTCCACGAGTTTTGTCGTCTTGCGTTTTTTTTCGTCTTGCGAAGCACGGTGTCGGGAAAGTTTTGGAAAAGCTTCAAAAATACCAAAGTCTTTAAAAACCTCAAAAAAGGCTACCACACCGCGTTCTATGAGTTGCTCCTCGAAGTCAAGTCGCAACTGTATTAACGGTGTTAAGAAAAAGGAAACAAACTTGCAAGACGTTTCCGTCTTGAGAAGCAAGCCCATAGGGAAAATCGTCTTGCGAAGGAGCTCAAAAAACCAAAAACCCTTTCGTCTTGCGAGTTTTTTGTCTTGCGAGGCATTCGTCTTGCGAGGTACCACTGTAGCTCACACACGCAAGTTGGCATCCATGACCATTAACAGATATTCCTGTTCCGGTACTCTTGACCATAAAAGGTTGTTTCTGTTCCTATACTCTTATCTTGGGGCAGGAGGTCACCAACTCTAAGAACACTCCTGGCACCGTTCCCGGGTCTCTTGTCAGACTTGACAAGGTCTGTGCGTCTTTTGTGGTCAGGATGTAAGATAAGACCCAGACTCCCTGCTCCATGGAACTGGCAAGGTCATCCACTGCCATCACGGACTGATAAAGGAGAGGGCTTTGAGCACTTGTTTCTACAGCTGGCTTTCTGTTTATACATTGACTCAAAAGCTCCAGTTAATGCATTTTAGAAATGCTCCCTTGGAGGAGGAAAAATGTGGATTTTGGGTCCCGCTGCAGACTGACTGCACAGAAACCCATTCCTTCCCCCTTCACAACCTTTCAATACGCAGCAGCATCGCCTTTTCCTGGCCACGCCTTCCTACCTGTCGGGCGTGGAGGTGAGCCGGCAGCGGCTGGAGCCTTCCACCTGTGCTTCCTGGGTGCCCACTTCTGCCCCCTGCCTCAGACGCAGCAAAGTGGGCTTCCATCTCCTTCCTTTCATGGCACAGAGGCAGAGGGTGCCTAGGAGCCCATTGCCTAAAGGGCAGAGAAAGCACACATCAGTATCACTTGCCATACTTCAAGGTTTCCAGTTCATCTACTCTGTGGGCTCAGCGCCAGATAAAAAGAAGATGAACCACCTTATTTTTTGCTCTATAAGACTCACTTTTTCCCTCCTAAAAAGTAAGGGGAAATGTGTGTGCGTCTTATGGAGCGAATGCAGGCTGCGCAGCTATCCCAGAAGCCAGAACAGCAAGAGGGATTGCTGCTTTCACTGCACAGCGATCCCTCTTGCTCTTCTGGCTTCTGAGATTCAGAATATTTTTTTTCTTGTTTTCCTCCTCCAAAAACTAGGTGCGTCTTGTGGTCTGGTGCGTCTTATAGAGTGAAAAATACACTTCCACTTGGTGTGCTGGTAAAACTGAAAATCGGCTGGTTTTCTCTTAAGAGGTGGAATATATCAATCTTCTTGTATTGTGATTTGTTTTCACCAATTATAGATGAGTAATTCTTTGTTGTAATTGAGAAGTGTAAACTGTCTAATTATAACTTGCGGATGTTTAATGTTAGTGTTTACTATTGGATTCTAATGCATTATTGCATCTTGCTTTATTTGGTATAAGTTGTTTAAAGTTACTGTGACTTTTTATATAGGATCTGATTGTTGCTATTAATGTTAATAATAATAATAATAATAATAATAATAATAATAATAATAATAATAATATAATAAGTGAGAGATTTTACTTTCTTGGGCTCCATGATCACTGCAGATGGTGACAGCAGCCACGAAATTAAAAGACGCCTGCTTCTTGGGAGAAAAGCAATGACAAACCTAGACAACATATTAAAAAGCAGAGACATCACCTTGCCAACAAAGGTTCGTATAGTTAAAGCCATGGTTTTCCCAGTAGTGATGTATGGAAGTGAGAGCTGGACCATAAAGAAGGCTGATCACCAAAGAATGGATGCTTTTGAATTCTGGTGCTGGAGGAGACTCTTGAGAGTCCCCATGGACTGCAAGAAGATCAAACCTCTCCATTCTGAAGGAAATCAGCCCTGAGTGCTCACTGGAAGGACAGATCCTGAAGCTGAGGCTCCAGTACTTTGGCCACCTCAAGAGAAGAGAAGACTCCCTGGAAAAGACCCTGATGTTGGGAAAGATGGAGGGCGCAAGGAGAAGGGGACGACGGAGGACGAGATGGTTGGACAGTGTTCTCGAAGCTACAAACATGAGTTTGACCAAACTGCGGGAGGCAGTGGAAGACAGGAGTGCTTGATGTGCTCTGGTCCAGGGGGTCATGAAGAGGCGGACACGACTAAACGACTAAACAACAACAACAACAACAACAACAACAACATTATTATTATTATTATTATTACTATTATTATGTGTGTTGGAAGCCACAACAGAGGGGCTGGGGCAACCCAGCCAAATGGGCAGGGTATATTTAAAATAATAGTATAGTAGTAGTAGTATGTGTTGGACCTGAAACTCCAGGAATCCTCTGGCCACTCACTAGACTGTTTCTGCCCCCCCACTTTTCCCTCCCAGTACATTTTTTGTCCTGCAAATCTTATTTTTTTTATTTCATAAAATTTATGCACACCTTAATTGTGAAGAATCACCTCCAAGCTGTTTAGAAAAAAAGATAAAACAATAAAATCAACTGCTCTAAGGTTTGTTTTTAACAATCAAACGGTGTGTAAGTGAAATAATAACGTGAATAAGAAGAACTGACAATAATGTAAGACTTAAAAAAAAAAAGACAACATGCTAAACACCAACATGCTGGGTTGCATAGACTTCATGCTTGCCTGCGACAGTCAAGATTAAGAGGCAGGTGAGCGACTTGAAGCCCAAGGAGACGGCCTGGTTCAGCTCAGACAGGGCGTTGGCCACGACGAGGACTAGCAGCGTGGCACGCGGGAGCCCAGGAATCTGCAGGAAGGTCATGATGAGGGCTGCCAGGAGGAAATAGCTGCCGTGTAGGACACAGGTATAGATGGAGCTGAGGCTGAACCCTGCGAAACAGAGGTGGGCACGAAATGCTCTAATTCCCGTATTTCGCTTATTTGCTAAGCTGTTGTGATTCTGCATTGTTTAAAGCTTTGCATTTTGCAATGGCGCTGTGGGTTAAACCATAGAGCCCAGGGCTTGCCGATCAGAACGTCGGCGGTTCGAATCCCCATGACGGGGTGAGCTCCACGTTGCTCGGTCCCAGCTCCTGCCAACCTAGCAGTTCGAAAGCACGTCAAAGTGCAAGTAGATAAATAGGTACCGCTCCAGTGGGAAGGTAAATGGCGTTTCCGTGCGCTGCTCTGGTTTGCCAGAAGCGGCTTAGTCATGCTGGCCACATGACCCGGAAGCCGTACGCCAGCTCCCTCAGCCAATAAAGCGAGATGAGCGTCGCAACCCCAGAGTCGGCCACAACTGGACCTAATGGTCAGGGGTCCCTTTAGCTTTACTGATACGATAGTCTTTATAGTCCCATACAGAACAACGAAATTGAAAAAATCTACATCAGACATTCAAACACCAACAAGCCTGCTATTCCAGCTATCCCAGCCTTGGTTAGCTCCCTAAAAACTCTGATACCACATAATTAAATACAATATACTCCCATAGGGACTACCTTAAAGGTAATGGGACCCCTGACCGTTAGGTCCAGTCGCTGCCGACTCTGGGGTTGTGGCGCTCATCTCGCTTTACTGGCCGAGGGAGCCGGCGTACAGCTTCCGGGTCATGTGGCCAGCATGACTAAGCCGCTTCTGGCGAACCAGAGCAGCGCATGGAAACGCCATTTACCTTCTCGCCAGAGCGGTACCTATTTATCTACTTGCACTTTGATGTGCTTTCGAACTGCTAGGTTGGGAGGAGCAGGGACCAAGCAATGGGAGCTCACCCCGTCGTGGGGAATCAAACCGCCGACCTTCTGATCAGCAAGTCCTAGGCTCTGTGGTTTAACCCACAGCGCCACCCGTATCCCTAGAGACTACCTTACACTGTGTTTAAAACTAAAATCGCATTTGGGTAGAAACTGTTTCTCAGGCGGCTAGTCCTAGTCTTTATAACCCTGTACCTTCTTCCAGAAAGCAGAAGCTGAAAGAGATCATTTCCGGGGTGTGCACTATCCTGCGCTATCTCTGCAGCTTTCTTATGGCACCTGGAAGCATAGATTTGATCCAAGGTGGGAAGAGTGCACCCAATTAATCTTTCCGCAGTCTTTACAACCCTGGACAGCATTTGAAGCTGTGCAGACCAGCGGCTGCCAGGGAACTCATGAAACAGAAATCAAAATGAGAACCTGACCCCTTTCCCCCTGCAAGCCCCAAATCTTCTTTGGAGTTCTGCCGAGATCAGATTTGGGGCGGAGAAAAGAGAGGGGAGTTTCCTTGCACAATCGGAAGGCGTTGAATCGACTTTGCTCCATTCAGCCTCCTGCCTCTGCCCTCCCAAAATCGTCTTACCTGCCCAGCTGATGAACCTCCGGATGTGTTGCAGCTGCCCTTCCACACTCGCTTGCATCCGGTCCATGGCGTTCAGCAACACTCCCAGACTCTGGTTCATCTTCTGGAGCTTCTGCATCAACTCCTCATAATACAAGGCCGTCTGGTTCTGGTAGGCCGCGAACAAGCCCAGGTTGGTCTCTGGGATGGAGGGCGGAGGGGGAAGAGAAACGACCAAGTTCAGAGGCAGTCTTGGCTCCGTGGCCAGGGGCAGAGGCGAGGAGGGTTTGAACGCCACCACCAACCTGTCTTGGAGTAGACTTCTTGAGCTCGCCTCTGCACCTGGGACAGGTCCTCAAGGATGGCCCTGTGACCTTCTTGCAGCTCCAGGTCCTGCTGATCTAGGTGACGGCTCACGTTTTCTGCAAGGAGAGCGTTATGTTGAACATATCAGACAACACAGCGATTCTTCAGACAGCTCTTGTTTATTCACAGGCCAGAACAGAACAGAACTGAACTGAAGGGTTCAGCCAACCTGCTTATATAGAGCTCAACTACAAAGCAACAGTAAAAACTTTCTGTAACTATCCAATCACTGAAAGTCACTTTCAATTCCTTATTTGCATATATGGACCTGAGTGAAAACTATCTACAGTATCCCCCTGCTGGCCAAGGGTGAGGACTTCAGTACATAACAGAGAGGAACACGGGCAGCCCTTGCTTTTTGGAATTTCTGCTGCGATACCCAACAAACCGCAGTTTACGTCGGGATATGACCAGAGTCCCCTATCTGCTCTTCCAAGAAACCCCATCAGGGGTCTAGATGACCCTTTGTGTCTCTTCCAACTCTGCAGAAATTGAAGACAAGAAATTGAAGACAAGTTCTGCCAAGTCTTCCCAGGGTCTGTGCTGTGCGTACAGCTTTTAAAGTTAGCTGCTCTTATTTTCTGTGTTTTCAGCCTTTCTGTAGCCGTTTTCATTGCATTTCTTGCATTGCCTCAAGACATGTGCATTGAAGGAGATGAAATAATTTCTTTTGTTGGACTACAACTCCCATCATCCCTCAGCTCTGACCTTGCTAGCTAGGGGGTGATGGGAGTTGTAGTTCAACAACATCTGGGGACCCACAGGTTGAGAACCGCCGAAAGCCAAACCTGCCCCATTTATTTCAGTGGTGGGTAAGTGAGGTCTGGAGATTGACACCCCCCAAGCCAGAAAGCTCCTTTCTATAGGGTCAAAACATGAACTCCCAAGGGAGGATATGGCACTCTAACCCGCCCCCGCCCCCCCAAGACGATGGGAGCAAGCCTTGGAGGACACAAGGCTCTGCTGAGTTTTTTGGGCCCCCTGATATTGCAGTTAGTAATACTGCAGAGTCTGAAGGGACTGGAAGCCTAAGAACTGACTCCTTTTGGAATAAATCGTTGTGCAGGCCCATAAAAATATTATTCAAATCTTTTCTGGCAGAACTCTTCAAAGTAAAACAGAAACATCATATGATACATCCAAAATATCCATGCAATGTCTTGTGCTGTCCAGCACAGGCTCGGCATCTTAGAAAATATGAAACAGACTTAAGAAGCAGAGGTCTGCCTCTCCCCACAGCCCTGCTTCCCAGCCTCCATTGGCCTTAGGCTGTTTATTCTTCCTTCAGGATAGAGTTGCCATACATCCGGAAATGTCCGGGATTTCTACTGCGAAAACAGCACGTGGAGGGAATTCCAAAAAATTGGCAGAAAAGGCTCAACAACTTTTGTGTCAAGATTTTTTGCTTCTTGAAATATGGCAACACTATTTCATTGACATCCTTCTGCAATTAATCCACAATGCGGCAGCTAGACTGGTGACTGGGAGCGGCTGCCAAGACCATATAACACCGGTCCAGGACGTTTTCGAGCACAATTCAAAGTGTTGGTGCTGACCTTTAAAGCCTTAAACGGCCTCGGCCCAGTATACCTGAAGGAACATCTCTGTTATGTACTGAGTTGAATAGGATCCAAACTGCAGCAGTCTGATTGGTCCTAGAACAATAGGATCCAAAAGGCAGCAGTCTGATTGGTCCTAGAACAATAGGATTCAGAATGCAGCAGTCTGATTGGTCCTAGAAAAATGCAGCAGTCTGATTGGTTGGCAGGAACTACCCAATCATGCTCCAGATAGAAGTGACTCCACAACCTGATTGGCTTACAGTAGAATTCCGGAATTAGCCAATCATGTGCAGCCCATTGTGTAAATAATGTATATAAAGCAGATACTTTGAGGGGACATTCATTCATTCCTCCTCACCACTATGAGCTGAATAAAGAGCATGAAATCACTTTGCAACTCTGAGTATATTTCAATCTCCACCCCCATCATCCAGCCCGGACACTGAGATCCACCACAGAGGGCCTTCTGGCCGTTCCCTTGCTGCAAGAAGTGAGGTTACAGGGAACCAGGCAGAGGGCCTTCTCGGTGGTGGCATCCGCCCTGTGGAACACCCTCCCACCAGATGTCAAAGAAATAAATAATATGACGTTTAGAAGACATCTGAAGGCAGCCCTGTTTAGGGAAGCTTTTAATGTTTAATAGATTGTTGTATTTTAATATTCTGTTGGAAGCCGCCCAGAGTGGCTGGGGAGACCCAGCCAGATGGGTGGGGTATGAATAATAAACTATTCTTATTCTTATTACCCATCCTCTTTGTGATGCCCTCGATCAGTTCTGCCACCTGCTGTTGCCCACTGGCAATGAGAGCCTTCTCCCGAACCAGTTGGTCCAGGTTGTCATGGATGGATTCCTCCATCTGCACTTGGCTGCCTTGCAACTTCTCCTGCTGGGCCAGGATCGCCTCCTGGCTGGTGGCCACTTTCTGCAGCGATTCCGACGTCAGCTCCTTCAGCTCCTCCTGCCCGCTCTGCAGGGGAGGGAAGTCGGAGAATAAGGAGCATCAGAAGAAGCGAGGCAGCCGAACGGAAGAATAGATAAAGCTGCCCAACGACAGAATCCATAAATGGCTCCACCTGTCTCAATATTGTCTGCACGGACCGGCAGCAGCTCTCCAGGGTTAAAACACTTAATTGTAAAAGCAGCATAAAATATAGTATAAAAACACGAATAACAATAAAATTCAAAAATCAATTTAGGGGAAATAAGCATTAGATAATCCTCAGGGCTAGCTGGCTGAATTGGTCCTACTTGGGCCAGCGAGGAGACCAGGGGAGAATTAGCTGTGGGGTCTCAGAGAGGGTGATCTTCATAAAAGGGGAGGGAAGAGAAGGGAAATAAAAGATCAGGCTGAATTCAAATTAAAGGCCAGGCAGAATAGCTCTGTCTTACAGGCCCGACGGAAGGAGGTTAAATCCTGAAGGGCCCTGGTCTCATGGGACAAAGCATTCCACCAGGTCGGAGCCATCACTGAGAAGGCCCTGGCCCTGGTGGAGGATAGTCTGGCTTCCTTAGGGCCCGGGACCTCTAAACTATGGTTATTCATGGACCTTAAGGTCCTCTGTGGGGCAGACCAGGAGAGGCAGTCCTGTAGATACAAGGGTCCTAAGCCCCAGACAGTCCTCCAGCCCCCCAAGGAAGATCCTAATATATATATATATCAAATCCCAAGCAGTACAAGCCTTAAGAATTTTCATCGCTTCCAGCTGGCTGACGGCAGTGGAGACCAAGGCGTTGACGGTGTGCTCCGCTCGGCGCTTGAACTGCATCTGACGGGTGGCATAGCAGACAGCCCGGGCTCGGTTGCTCACGATGTGGTAGGCGTTCCAGGTGTCTGGATCCATCCCCGCGGTGCATTCTGCTAGAGTCTGTTGGGAGAACAGAAAGGGAGCAGCAGATTGCGATTGAATGAATCATTGCGGGAACCCTACAGCTCATCCGAGACCCCAGGATTCATGCAACTCTGTTTAGATTGGTTAATTTTAATTTTATTTACGTAACGGGGCATCAGCCTCACCCTTGCTGTCTGAACCAGGTCATTAAAACAAGGAAATGCAGCCAGCATAGCTCTGGGAAAGGAGCTATGGCTGCTGCCCACGCCTCCAGCAGCTGTTTTTGTACGCAGGTGCTGCTTCGTAATGAAATAAAAAAATTAAGGCTTATATATAAAATAAATGTTCATGGTGTGCCAGGCAAACACGTACATAAATGTATGGGCCACATGTCCGAGGCAGCACAGGAGGGCAGCCCTTGAGCCATTTTGGCTCCCAAACTGACCAAATGTTTTCTCTGCAAGGTCAAAGGAAAATGGAAAAGCCTCCCCATTGTCTTTTAATTCACAAAACCTGTCTTAAGGGCCTGTGCATGAATAGGGTGAACCTGTGACCTGGCTCAGGAACTAAGTATTTGTCACTACAAAAGACTGGACAGGCTCCCCAGGGTATCCAATCAAGTGACCATTAACAGGTAACCTGCCAGACAGGAGATAAACAATGCACTCAGATTTCTGTTGTAGACCGCCCTTTCTGTGATGGAGGTATGATGTGTCTGGGGGTGGTCTTGTACTCCAGGACGGGCAATTTATATAAGGGCGGGCACACCTGGGTTCTGGGTCTTCCTCCTTCTCCTGCGTGTGAGGGGAGCATCCTGTTGCAACAGTTCAATAAAGATCAGGCTTACTAGCTGCTTTCCTTCTCAATATTCTCTGCTTGGCCTCTGTTATTTCTCCTACTGATGGTGAACCTGCAAAGGACTCTATAAGGGCTCTTGTGTCCCCCATAAGGAAATAAAGGCAGATTTCCGTTTATTACAGTAAGATTCTAGGTAGGTTCCCAAACCGGATTAGGTACCATGTCGGCAGTGCACAGGTAAGTCCTACGTCCTTCAACGCTGGCCTGGCAGTTGAACAGGGAGACGCCCAGCTTGGCCAGCTCCTCTTCCGTCAGGTCCGTGCAAGACGACCGAAGCTGTGCAACCACCTAGCAATGAAGGTAAGAGAGAGAAGGGAAATAACCAGGCAGAAAGGGGGGGGGGGGTATCTCCTGTTTTGCTACAGCACTTTAGTGCAAAAGGGGATATAAAGTTGGTACAGTGGTGCCTCGCAAGACGAAAATAATCCGTTCCGCGAGTCTCTTCGTCTAGCAGTTTTTTTGTCTTGCGAAGCAACCCTATTAGCGGCTTAGCGGTTTAGCGGCTATTAAAGGCTTAGCGGCTTAGCAGCTAAAAGGCTATTAGCGGCTTAGCAGCTTAGAAAAAGGGGGGGAGCGAAAAAAAATGGCAAGACTCGCAAGACGTTTTCGTCTTGCGAAGCAAGCCCATAGGGAAATTCGTCTTGCAAAGCGCATCGAAAACGGAAAACCCTTTCGTCTTGCGAGGCGTTCGTCTTGCGGGGCACCACTGTATTTGTAATCCGAGACCAACCAGCCGCCCAGAGTGGCTGGGGAAACCCAGCCAGATAAGTTTGGTATAAGTAATAAATTTATTATTATTATTATTATTATTATTATTATTATTATTATTATTATTCCACAATGGACATTTAGAGGCAACGCAAAAATCTTATTTTGTTCTAGGTCTACACATGCTTCGTGAGCACTGCTATAGAAAAAGGAAGCTTCTATAATTCTTTGGAATTGTACCTGAAGGAGCGTCGCCACCCCCAACGTTCAGCCTGGACACTGAGGTCCAGCTCCAAGGGCCTTCTGGCGGTTCCTTCACTGTGAGAAGTGAGGTTACACGGAACTAAGCAGGGCCTTGTCGGTGGTGACGCCCGCCTTGTGGAACGCCCTCCCAACAGATGTCAAGGAGATAAACAACTGACTTCTAGAAGACCTCTGAAGGCATCCCTGTTTAGGGAAGCTTTTAATGGTTGATGTTTGTCCAGTGGTTTTTATGTGTTGTAAGCTGCCCAGAGTGGCTGGGGAAACCCAGCCAGATGGGCAGGGTATATATTATTATTATTATTATTATTATTATTATTATAGATGCTTCAGGTTGCGTTTTTTTGGGTTGTGGACCGCCTAAACCGAGAAGTACCGGAACAGGTTACTTCCAGGTTTTGGCAGTTGCGCATGCGCAGAAGTGCTAAATTGCGCTTTGTGCATGCGCAGAAGCACTGAATCACAACCCGCACATGCACAGACGCGGGTTGCGAACGTGCATCCCGCACAGATCACGTTCGCAACCCGAGCGTCCACTGTATTATTATTGGGGCCTGGATGGCTCAGTTGTTTGGAGCGTGGTGCCGATAATGCGAAGGTCGCAGGTTCGATCCCCTGGAGCAGCTGCGTGTTCCTGTATTGCAGGGGGTTGGACTAGATGATCGTCAGATTCCCCTTCCGACTCGACAGTTCTACGATCCGTTGTAGAATGCAGAGCGGAAAACTCCGGGGCAAACCTCCACGACGGCATGCAAGATGGCCCACACTGCAGGGAGAAGACCACCCTGATGTTTATAAACTGCAGGCGGACCTTATGGTGGCAGGAGTCCAGGGGCGAGAGATCCAGCCGCCGGGCCTCGGCTAAGAACCTCTCATCTGCCGTGGTCATCTCAAAAGGCACATGGGACAGGTGAGCTGGGTCCGGAGGGGGTGCGGGGGGCACAGGGGCTTTTTCTGGGGTTCCACTTCGAGTGAGCCAGCCGAAAAACCCAGAGGAGGGCGCAACCAGGAGCAGGAGAAGCGAGAGGCAGAAGGCCCAGCGATCAAGAAGCAGCATCTTCAGAGGGTATCCTGCAAGGGAGACAAGGACGGTGATATATGCATTGCAGAGGGTTGGAATAGATGACCCAAGGGTCCCTTCCAGATCTGCCGTTCTATGATTTTTTTAAAAAAATATTTTTATTAATTTTTACATGAAATTTCCCAAAAAAATAAATTACAATGTATTTTCTCATCTTATTCAATGTTTTGGACTTCCATCAACCACATCTCAAGATTTTTCAAACTTTATTATTATTATTTCAATATTATTATTACCATTATCATCAATCACTTAATCTGCATTTCCTTAATTTCACTATTACTTTTAATAGTCCTTCACTAACAGTTCTCTTCATACTTTTCTCTGCAATATTTCACATAGTCCTCCTTACAAAACTTCTTGCAATCCTACTAGCGTAATCTGTTGATTACAATTGCTTTTCAGATATAGCTCACATATTTACTCCAGTTACAGATAGGTAGCCGTGTTGGTCTGCCATAGTCAAAACAAAAAAATTCCTTCCAGTAGCACCTTAAAGACCAACTAAGTTAGTTCTTGGTATGAGCTTTCGTGTGCATGCATCTGAAGAAGTGTGCATGCACACGAAAGCTCATACCAAGAACTAACTTAGTTGGTCTTTAAGGTGCTACTGGAAAGAATTTTTTTATATTTACTCCAGTCCTCTGAGAATCTCTGATCCCGCAGGTTTCGAATCCTTCCTGTCATCTTGTCTAATTCTGCATAGTCCATTAATTTCGTCTGCCATTGTTCTTTTGTCGGTAATTCTTCTTTCCATTTCTGTGCCAATAGTACTCTTGCTGCCATTATATAGAAACAGTTTATTATCCTGCAGTTCTATGATTCTACGTATGTCGTGGTTTGTTGCCGTTTCCTGTTGCTCAAGTTTTGCTAGGTCTGTATGTGGGTCACTGCAATCAGAGTTTTAGAGCTGGAAGGAACCCATCTAGTACAACACCCCTGCAATGGAGGAATCTTTTTGTTCAACGTGGAACTCAAACCCACACAACTCTGACATTAAGAGTCTCATGCTTTTACCGACTGAGCTGGGCGTGTTGAATTTTCCAGCTTTCAAATTACCAAAAATGAGGGGTGCTAAGAAGTTGTAACCACAGAGCCTAGGGCTTGCCGATCAGAAGGTCGGTGGTTCGAATCCCTGCGACGGGGTGAGCTCCCGTTGCTCGGTCCCTGCTCCTGCCAACCTAGCAGTTCAAAAGCACGTCAAAGTGCAAGTAGATAAATAGGTACCGCTCCGGCGGGAAGGTAAACGGCGTTTCCGTACGCTGCTCTGGTTCGCCAGAAGTGGCTTAGTCCTGCTGGCCACGTGACCCGGAAGCTGTACGCCGGCTCCCTCGGCCAATAAAGCGAGATGAGCACCACAACCCCAGAGTCGTCTGCAAGTGTACCTAACGTTCAGGGGTCCCTTTACCTTTACCTTTAAGAAGTTGTAACATGACTGGGGAATTCAAAAGGTGTTTGGTTTTTTTAAAACCAATATAACTTAGTTTTGCTTGGCAAGTAAAATGTATGTAAAAAAACGCATAGAAATAAAAATGATTGCCAAGTACTTGCAGTTATCTTGTATATTATTATTTAGCATTGCGTGACATTTTCAGAAGGCAAAATCAAAATGCTTTTGTTTTCCGAAAGCAGTTTATGTGCTTCTTCATCAAACCTAGATGTAGCAAGCAAATGTCGCATCACAAAAATAATAGATTTGAATTTCTCATACCCAAAAACAAATTTTAAGCCCCCCCCCACTGAATAAATTTGCAAAAAGTAAGTTTCGTCCCCTAAAATGACACCCCCTGTTAATGGTTTCACGTTGCAATGTGTTCTCTTTCCTTTCATTCTGTGCCTCTGGCTGTTAATTTTTTGTAAGTGGCTTAGAGAGTCTTTTGCAGCGAATTACTAATAAGTCAAAAAAACCATCCGGTCTGCAGCCAGGATGCCACCTAGAAAAATGGGCAGACATTGGGTCGTGGTGGTGGGGAAGCAGACCATAAACCTCCGCTGCTAACGGAAAACTTTAGGGGGAAAGTGCAGAGGAGACATTTTCTCCAGCTGGGTCCTTTGTCCAAAATTAAGGGGAAAGGGGAAAATTCACATTCCCTGTTGCTCAACTTGGGAGAAAGAGGGGCGGGGTGTCCCATAAAGGTAATTAATAGCACTTCAATAGCACTGCTGCCCTGTTGAAAGCTATTGTTTTCCAAAGATTATTCTATCTGGCTCCACAATAGACTGAGATAGCCAATTGTTTGGGGTATATTCCTGCAAAGGCAGCTCTGGAAAAAACCCGCATAGAAGTAGCCCTTCAGGATGAGACTTTGAGGCTCGTTGGATCCAGCATGTGAATTTCCCACAGTGGTCAATCACAGGCTCTCTCCATCCCCCAATATAGGGGAGGGTTCAGCATCGGATGGCACTGTGGTCTAAACCACAGAGCCTAGGACTTGCCAATCAGAAGATCGGCGGTTTGAATCCCCGCAACGGGGTGAGCTCCCTGCTCCTGCCAACCTAGCAGTTCGAAAGCACATCAAAGTGCAAATAGATAAATAGGTACCGCTCCGGCAGGAAGGTAAATGGTGTTTCCGTGTGCTGCTCTGGTTCGCCAGAAGTGGCTTAGTCATGCTGGCCACATGACCCTGAAACTGTACGCCGGCTCCCTCGGCCAATAAAGCGAGATGAGCGCCCCAACCCCAGAGTCGGCCACGACTGGACCTAATGGTCAGGGGTCCCTTTACCTTTACTATAGTTCAGCATAGACTGCAGTGGTGGCCAAACTTGGCCCTCCAGCTGTTTTTGGACTACAACTCCCATCATCCCTAGCTAACAGGACCAGGGATGATGGGAATTGTAGTCCCAAAACAGCTGGAGGGCCATGTTTGGCCACCATAGAGCAACTGCTCTGCATTCAGACAGTCCCTGGTTCACGCCCCAGCATCTCCCAGGAGAGGAGAGGTGGAATAAACTCTTGTCAGAAACTCTGGACTCAGTGTAGACAATACAGAGTCAGAAACAAGACAAGACATCTTTCTCTGTGTTCCCTAAGCAGAGCATGAAAGCAATAGCTTCCCCCATTCCCTCCTGTTGCAGCACCTGGCATTCCAAGATAGACTACCCGAGAACATGGAGGTTTCATTTTGCCAGCAACATACCCAACAGCGGTGCTTTTTTCCCTGGGGGGGTACGCAGGGGTACGCACACCCCTAAACATTTTGTGAATCTAAGTTTGGCCTCACTGAGGGGCAGAATTTCAATATGTGTAGGAAAAGGAGAGGACCCCTATATATATATATACACATATATATATTAGGAAAAAAAGCACTGCCCAACAGCATGAGCAAGCATGCCTGGAGCTTTCATGGCTGGTTTTCTTTAGGTAAGCAGTTAAAAGAAATTTTTATAGGAATAAGAACGAAAAGTTTCACCTTTGCTCCAGAAACAGAGAGCAGGCTGCATGCTCTTCCTGCTAGGGGCTCAGCCAGACATGCTATTACACGCAGTAAGACATCCTGGAAGAGCCATGAACCCTGGTAAGCTGGATGTGGCCAAAAATGAGATGGCAAGAAGGGGAAGACATAGAGGCAGTGAGAGATTTTACTTTCTTGGGTTCCATGATCACTGCAGATGGTGACAGCAGCCACGAAATTAAAAGACGCCTGCTTCTTGGGAGAAAAGCAATGACAAACCTAGACAGCATCCTAAAAAGCAGAGGCATCACCTTGTCGACAAAGGTCCGTATAGCTATGGTTTTCCCAGCAGTGATGTATGGAAGTGAGAGCTGGACCATAAAGAAGGCTGATCGCCGAAGAATTGATGCTTTTGAGTTATGGTGCTGGAGGAGACTCTTGAGAGTCCCATGGACTGCAAGAAGATCAAACCTCTCCATTCTGAAGGAAATCAGCCCTGAGTGCTCCCTGGAAGGACAAATCCTGAAGCTGAGGCTCCAAGGCTTTGGCCACCTCATGAGAAGAGAAGACTCCCTGGAAAAGACCCTGATGTTGGGAAAGATGGAGGGCACAGGGAGAAGGGGACGACGGAGGACGAGATGGTTGGACAGTGTTCTCGAAGCTACCAGCATGAGTTTGACCAAACTGCAGGAGGCAGTGGAAGACAGGAGGGCCTGGCGTGCTCTGGTCCAGGGGGTCACGAAGAGTCAGACACGACTAAACGACTAAACAACAAGGCATCCTGTAAAGTTTCAGGTCAACACTATTTGAGCAGAAATAGGTGGGAAAGGACTCAGAAGGTCCTAGGTTTAATCCCTGGCATGTCCAAGGAGGACTGGAAATCCACACACACAAATACCCTGCCAGAAATCCCTGGGGAACTGCTGCCAACCAGTGTGGACGATACAGAGGTAGACTGACCAATAGTCCCATAAGGCAGTTTCCTGTCCATCAACCAGGAAATTCTTTAGAAAATGAAATTATGATTTTATTTTTTAAAGACCCATACCAGGTAAATTGCAGAGGGTTTGGGGTGCCTACCACCTTCAAAAACCATGTCAAGATTGCTGCATTGCAGCACGTTGGACTAGATGACCGTTGTGGTGTCTTATGATTTTAAGGCTTGGCATCTGGATATTTTCAGAGAGCCAGTAGCAGCTCTAGAAGCAATGAGCTATTTATTCATGTATGCTACGACAGCGGCAAGAGTCTTGATAGCACAAGGATGGAAGAACGAAGAAACCCCGACAAAGGAACAGTGGCAAGAGAAATTGATGAACTATGCAGAATTGGCTAACATACAAACTGTGAGATAAGGACAACTGTGACTTCAAAGAAGAATGAGAACTTTTTACAAAGTATTTAAAAAGACAACAAAATAAAATGGACTCCTGGGCAGGTTTTGAATAAATATATGCAAATTTAGTGATTGGTAACATGGTAGATAAATAATATAAAGATGGAAATAAAGAGTGACATGGCTTGAGAAATCAGAGGAGCTGAGGGAAGTCTCAGTGGGGGAGGGCGGGTTTGATGGGGTGGGGGGAAATAATGAATATGATATATTCATTTGATATATTATGTTGAAATTGTTAATAAAAAAATTAAGGGAAAAAATAAAATGGAAGCAGTAAGCTAAAGCGGGACACCGAAATGCTAAAAATCCCATGTAATTTGGGAGACAGAAGAATGTTGACCACTCCCAGCAAAGTCTGTTACACCCCCTAGTCAGCAGCAGTGTAGCATAGTGGTTAGTGTGTCAGACTAGGACCTGAGAGACCAGGGTGCAAATCCCCACTTGGCCATCCTGGGTGTGTCTTTGGGCCTCTCTGGCCTACCCTACCTTACAGGGCTCTTGTGATTGTTAAAAGGAGAAGGGGGAGAAGCATGAATGTCCCCTTGAAATCCTTGGAGAAAGGAGGAGGAATATGAATGCAATAAAATAAAATGAAATAAAATACCCCTGGGCTGCTCCAATCAAAAATTCTATACAGAATCGGAATGCATAGGGGAATACCTGAAGAAATATGGTGTTAAAGCAGAACTCTTAATAGGCAATTGTTAAGCGTGTAAGGACAAAAGAAGCAATTATAATTTAACAGTTTTCAAGTTATTCTATTTTGTTAAAGCAACTAGAAAAAAATTATTATGATGGGAAGATCTCACACAGGTGAAGGGAAGCAGTGGGGAGGAGGGGAGGGTTAGGTTGAATTTGGGAAATAAAATAATATATGGGACAGCAAAGGATATAATAGATTATTATAGAATAGTAATATATTGTAACCAGAATAGAAGTTCAAAAAGGGAAGTAAATGTATTTTTAGTATTTTCATTATGGTAATTATTATTATTTTAATTTTTGAAAAGTTTTTATTATTAAAACAATTCAGCATTAATACACGTTACGAATACACAAACATACATTTCATACAATCCTTAAAAATGTCCATACATACCCACACTCAATCCCACAGATAATTCCTTTCCCCATCACCATCCACCACCCCTCACCCCACCTTTGTGTTAGTCTTCCAATCTACTCAATTGCAATTTCTTTCCACTTCTATTACTTTCTTTCGCACACCTTTAACCTAATTTCATGCTTCTTTTTCTGTTACACATTGTTATCCATCTTATTTGGTATTTCAGCATTTTTAAAACGGAACTTGTTTATTCTAATAGGAGTTCTGATTTTTCAGTATGGTTTTGCAAGTATCCTTTAAGCACCTTGGAAGGATCTCAAAAGAGAAGATAGACAGGGACAATAATTATTATTTCTTATCGGTTGAAGGCAATGTTAATTTAGGCTTCTTCGTTTTGCTTTCTGTATAATTTTCTTAAGTCAATAAAAAACGAAACAAAACAAACCAAACCCCTCGACCAATCATCTCCCCACCTGCCTCGCCGAAGTCTCCGGATTCCCCCAAACGCGCATTTCGAAAGTTTCCCGGCAAAAGCGCTACCAAATCCATTCTTATGAACGCCTCTGACGGTGACGTCAGAGCCGGCCCTAGCCAACCCGCAGCCGCGCCGGCCCTCCCACGCCCCGCTTGGAATCCAGAGGCGGCCAATCAGGAGAGCGGAGGCGAAAGATGAATGGCCGCGTTCTGAATGGCGGCGTGGGATTCATTCGCGCTCACCGCGCGGGGAGGAACCGCGCGGCTTGATTGGTTCCCTGGCTCGAGCGGAGGGCGGAGTCTGGGCCGGGCCACGTGGGTATTATGAATTCAGCTCTTAAGGAGGAGGTAAATAAAAGGTACAATCCGGCCAGTCCGTGGCAGGTTGCGGAGATGGAGAAGCTGCGGGAGCTGCGTGTGGGCTTCATCGGGGCGGGGCGCATGGCCAGCGCTGTGGCCCAGGCGATCCTGCTGGCAGGTAAGGGCAGGTAGGAGAGGCAAGGTGTGTTGTGGGGGGGAGGGGAATCTCCTGCATGGACAAAATCCTAGAAAAAGCCCAAATCAGCAGCAGGGGGCTGGGATCTTCAAAACCCCTTGTAGGAAAAAGGAACGCCATCGGATTGCAAATGAGGCTTGCTTTTGAGTAAACCTGCTGTAAGTGATGAGGGGTCCAGAGGCCAAAGGTGGCGGATCTGTTGTTGCGCGGTGCAAAGGGCGTAGGTTGAAAGACAGACTAAATATGATTTCTGGTTAGAATATTTGCAGAGCGCTCGGCTAGGTGACCCGGGGGGTGGGGAGACTCTTCCAAATCTGCAGTTCTGTGTTTCTATGAGGCTGGGAAAGACCCACCCCCTGGTTGAACTGTCTTTGGGTAAGGCAGCCTCTGTATCTGTTGGGAAGAGGCATTGCAACAGCAGGTGCCTTGTTTTGAGAAGATGGGTAGGCAAACTAAGGCCCGGCGGCCGGATCCGGCCCAATCGCCTTCTAAATCTAGCCCGCAGAGGGTCTGGGAATCAGCGTGTTTTTACATGAGTAGAATGTGTCCTTTTATTTAAAATACATCTTTGGGTTATTTGTGGAACATAGGAATTTGTTCAAACCCCCCCCCCAATATAGTCCAGCCCCCCACAAGGTCTGAGGGACAGTGGACCAGCCCACTGCTGAAAAAATTTGCTGCTTAGAAGGTCTCTGCTGCCAAGCTAGTTCAGGTGTGCTGGAACATTGGTTTTGCAGATGGTGCTGAACTACAATTCCCATCAGCCTCAGCCAGCATAGCCAAAAGCCGGGAGTGATGAGGATTATAGTTCCACGACGCCAGGTGGGCCAAAGGTTCCCCACACTCAGGTCCGATAATGTTGCATTAGTTGACAAAATAATAATAATAAATTATTATTATTTATACCCCGCCCATCTGGCCAGGCCTCCCCAGCCACTCTGGGCGGCTTCCTATAATAATAATAATAATAATAATAATAATAATAATAATAATAATAAAATTTATTGTTTGTACCCCGCCCATCTGGCTGGGTTTCCCCAGCCACTCTGGGCGGCTTCCAACAAAGATGAAAGATACACTAAAATGTCACATATTAAAAACTTCCCTGAACAGGGCTGCCTTCAGATGTCTTCTGAATGTCAGGTAGATGCTTATCGCTTTGACATCTGATGGGAGGGCATTCCACAGGGCGGGTGCCACTACTGAGAAGGCCCTCTGCCTGGTTCCCTGTAACTTGGCCTCTCACAGTGAGGGAACCGCCAGAAGGCCCTTGGAGCTGGACCTCAGTGTTCGGGCAGAACGATGGGGGTGGAGACGCTCCTTCAGGCATACTGGACCAAGGCCGTTGAGGGCTTTAAAGGTCAGCACCAACACTTTGAATTGTGCTCGGAAACGTTCTGGGAGCCAATGTAGGTCTTTCAGGACCGGTGTTATATGGTCTCGGCGGCTGCTCCCAGTCACCAGTCTAGCTGCCGCATTCTGGATTAGTTGTAATTTCTGGGTCACCTTCAAAGGTAGCCCCACGTAGAGCGCATTGCAGTAGTCCAAGCGGGAGATAACCTCCATGGACAGCTGTGAGTCCAAAATGACTCCCAGGCTGCGCACCTGGTCCTTCAGGGGCACAGTTACCCCATTCAGGACCAGGGAATCCTCCACACCTGCTCGCCTCCTGTCCCCCAAAAACAGTACTTCTGTCTTGTCAGGATTCAACCTCAATCTGTTAGCCGCCATCCATCCTCCAACCGCTTCCAGACACTCACACAGGACCTTCACCGCCTTCACTGGTTCTGATTTAAGTACACTGTAGGAAGTACACTGGTTCTGTACTTCCTACAGAATATTAAAAATGCAATAAAACATCAAACATTAAAAGCTTCCCTAAACAATCTAAAAAATCTCACTATGTACAGATTTATAAGTCTGTGTGCTACAGGACTTCTGTTTTTGCATGGAATTGAGTATTCGGAGCCCAGCTGCAGCTTAATAGCACTGTTAGCGAGCTCGTTTAATTTTACAGCAGTGTAAGCCTACGTACGCTTAAGTTCCATTGAGTCTAATGGGGATTACACTGAGAAAGTGCTACAGGATTGCAAGTAGAATAGGACTTAAAAGTGAAAGGTAAAATATAAACTGACCCTAAAATACCAAAGGCCATTTCAGTTACGGGTTCAGAGGAGGGGTTTTTTTTCCTAGAAGGGGTAAGTGGAGTCCCCCCCCCCACCCTTAGGCCAAACTTTGTCCTGTGAAATACCTCCAAGTGGAAGAATTTTTCCAAGGCCTTCAGACATGACAAAACTTGAGTAACAACAACCTCCATGTGTATTAAGCAATACAGAATTGTATGCTTTATAAACAGTAGCTCAGTAACATCTTTAAGATATCTAGTTCTGGGCTGCAAAATAGGTGGGGCTTACTTCAGAGTAAGTGTACTGCAAATTGTGTCCCAGAATGGGAGGTGGGGGAAAGTTTTGTAACTGAGTGTAACTGAGCTTTTTATTGCTTTATATCCATCGTGGAAAATTACTCCGGCTCATGGAAAGATACTCATCTGTCTTTGATGATTCCCTTCCTTGTTCCTTGTAGCACGTAACACCCCGTGCACAAACCCCCAACTAAATCCTGTCCCATGGAAGTGCCAAATTGCCTGGAAAGTTGTGCAGGGGAAACTTGGCTAACAGCATGCCGGTTGCACAGTCAAGATGATAAGCAGGACATCTAATTGCACATGGAAAATGACCAGCAGCTGATAGAGCCAGGCAGAAACATGGTCGTGAAAGGCATTATGTGCCAGGAGGTGTTCCCAAAATTTCCAAACATACTCCATGGGGAGTCCCATATAGAGTTTGTTTACGATACGATACAATAATCTTTATTGTCATTGTCCCATACAGAACAACGAAATTGAAAAATCTACCGTATTTTTTGCTCTATAAGACTCACTTTTTCCCTCCTAAAAAGTAAGGGGAAATGTGTGTGCGTCTTATGGAGCGAATGCAGGCTGCACAGCTATCCCAGAAGCCAGAACAGCAAGAGGGATTGTTGCTTTCACTGCACAGCGATCCCTCTTGCTGTTCTGGCTTCTGAGATTCAGAATATTTTTTTTCTTGTTTTCCTCTTCCAAAAACTTGTGGTCTGGTGCGTCGTATAGAGCGAAAAATACGGTACATAAGACATTCAAAACCCAACAAGCCTCCTATCCCAGCTATCCCAACCTGGTTAGCCCCTAAAAACTCTGATACCCCATTTTTAAATACAATATACAGTACTCCCATACAGACTCATTAAAGGTAAAGGGACCCCTGACCATTAGGTCCAGTCATGGCTGACTCTGGGGTTGCAGCCCTCATCTCGCTTTATTGGCTGAGGGAGCTGGCGTACAGCTTCTGGGTCATGTGGCCAGCATGACTAAGCCGCTTCTGGCGAACCAGAGCAGCGCACGGAAATGCCGTTTACCTTCCCGCCGGAGCGGTACCTATTTATCTACTTGCACTTTGATGTGCTTTCAAACTGCTAGGTTGGCAGGAGCAGGGACTGAGCAACGGGAGCTCACCCCCAGGTGGGGATTCGAACAGCCGACCTTCTGATTGGCAAGTCCTAGGCTCTGTGGTTTAAGCCACAGTGCCACCCGTGTTCTTGACCACTCCAGGAGCCTTCCACAATTGGTTGCTGCAGCAAGGCAACTCCTGACCACAGCTGCCGCCTGACCAACAGGGGCAGAGCTGTGTCCAGGAACACACCAAAACGGCAAGCCCCATCTTTCAGGGAGAGTGTAACCCTATCACTGGGCTTGTTCATCCCCTGGCGAGAACACACCTGCCTTGTGCAGTCTGAGTTTCAGCTTGTTCTTCTGCATCCAGTCCATTCACGCGGTGGTTCAGGAGATCCAGAGCTGTGTGCCATCTGCCTATTGGTGACTGTGAACTCCAAAACTCTAGATTCTGTGTGGGTTTCGTGTCAATGTTGGGTAGGTAGAGGGCAAGGTGGAAGTTTTGGGGGGACACCCGAAAACAAAAGTGCGAAGCAGGGGCTGCCCCTCGGAACTACCTTCTGGAATCTGCCCTCCAGGAAAAGCCGGAGTCTCTTTATTACGGCACCCAGAAACCCCATCCCAGGAAGGACAGCAGGGCCGATGGCACCGAAAGTGGCTCAGGACGCCATCGGAAAGAACAGGGGCATTCTGTCCGGGTCCAGCGTCCAGCATCAATCATCCACCAGGGCGACCGAGGCAGTTTCAGTCCCAAAACCAGGTTGGAAACCAGAGTAAAATGGCTGAAGATAATCTCCCTCTCCCAGGAAGTCCTGGAGTAGGGTCATCACCACACACCCAAGCATCTTGTTCAAAAACGGAAAGTTGGAGACCAGACGGTAAATGCTGATATTATTAGGGGTCTGGAGAGTTCCTTTAGCAAAGGATGAACTACTACAGTGTTTTAGTTAGCTAGCATAGTGTGGACACACTTTCACAGATACATTAATCTTCACCATCTAAGCCAGGGAAGCAGGGTTTGGAATAATAATAATAATAATAATAATAATAATAATATATTTATATGCTGCCCATTTGACTGGTTTGCCAGCCACTCTGGGTGGCTCCCAACAAATTATGAAACCACAGCAAAACATTAAAAACTTCCCTAAACAGGGCTGCCTCCAGATGTCTTCTATATGTTGTTAGTCTCCCAACTCCTTCCCGTTCCAATGGTTAGGGAAGATGGTGTTGGAAACTGGCTCCCTCGGGAAAGGCTGACTCCTCTTCCCAGGCACTGGGGCCTGTTGCCAGTGATCTTCCCTGGCTGGTCTTCGGTCAGACCAGGGAGATCTTCAATAAGCGACACCTCCTCCTTGAGAGATGCACACTCCCTTCCCCCTTGCATGCCAGCAGGAGAAAGAAAACAGTCCGAAAGTAGTCTTATTTCATTCTACTTTATTCCTGGACTGTACACTGTACAAGAGCTTGCACAAAGCATGTCAGCTCTCTCAGAAACCTCCGAACATCTCACTGACTCCCCCTTTGCAACAACAACAACAACAGGAAGGTCTCAAGTTACACTGAGAACAGGCCCTTTTTGGTGCAGCATCCCTGAGCACTCATATTACAACAGATGGCAGGTAGAGTCTTGCACACCTGGAAGGCAACAGGTTGTGCATCCCCTGCCCTGAACCACTTGGAGCCCAAATTCCTTGAGATTGCAGAAGGGAAATCCTCTAAAGGGTTTTCCTTTTTTCCCAAAGAGGTGAATATGTCAGGGGCTTCTCAGTTGTGCCCTCTGGAATCTGCTCATGGTCAAAACTTTCCTTTGTCAATAGTGGGAAACGAGTGTTTTTCCAGAGAGTTTTGTGAGCTGCAGATGAGTCCATTCCGACTATTACTTAGATATGATGAGATTGAACTTGTTGCCTTGTCCTTTTTTTTGCAAGACAGCTTGCAAAAACAGAGTGGTCTTTCTCCTGCTGGGCTTGTGTTTGGGCAAAGCATAAGGTGCCGTACATTCAGCCAAGCTTCCTTTCTCCCCATCTCTCGCAGGAGAAGTCCAGGCAGTGAACATCTTTGCCAGTGCTCCATCCAACAGGAACCTGGACAAGTTCCAGGTAAGTGAAGGCCAAATGTCAACAGGACCTGAATCAAAAGGGCCGTGAAATGCTAAAGGCCATCCGTTCAGTGGCGGCCACTAACATGGATGGCTTGGAAAGGGGAATTCATTCTAACAAATGAGGAATGGCTTTTAAAAGTAATGGACGATGTTGAAATGGCAAACTGACAGCAATATTAAGAGATTGAAATGATGGAATTCTTATAGAAGGAGGGAAGCCCTTTTTGGACTATTTGGAAAAGCACTATAGTCAAATGAAATCGCGGGCGGGATTTGAGATGGGGCAGCGGAAGTCAAATGACAAAGTAAATGTATTAGAGGGATTTCTGTAATAGACAAGTGTTTGATCTATAATGCAGTAGAAAAGGGTATGAACAAAACCATTCTGGAGGTGTGAGTGGGACGGCAGTACATGAAATGACGTTGCTATTTAATTTGAAGCCAGTTTGCAAAAATTTGAAAATTCAATAGAAGTTACATTAAAAAAATGAAATGAGCAATTCAGATCTGTTGATCCATGGGAAAATTAAGCACTGGGAAATGTTCTGCCCCACATCACTGAGTGTCTAAACACCAGTTAGCCAGAGTACATGAGTGGGGGAGCTGTGTGCGCTGTTGGACTCGTTGCAGTTGTGGCTTTCCTAGAGCCATGTGCTCAACATAGGCCTATGGTCTGATCCACCTGCAGGGCATGAAATTCTAAAGTTCTTACCTTGTGATCTCTCTTTTGAATAAAGACCTTTGAGTGCAAGACGACGCACTCTAACCTGGAGATTCTGGAGAACTGCACCATTGTATTCCTGGCTACCAAGCCCCATGTGCTCCCCGCGGTTCTGCGAGAGATCGCGTCTGCGGTCACCAAAAAACACGTCGTTGTCTCCATGGCAGCTGGAGTCACACTGCAGGCCTTAGAAGAGGTGAGTTCTTGGAGGAGCAAGCCCACGGGCCCCATCCCCATAGGCACACCCAGCATGGTGAAGTAGGGCGTTAATGAACCTTGCAGCCCAATCATCACTGTCCTCTCCATTGAATTTGCTTTGGGCTGGAACTTGATTGTAAAAGTTTAGGGAAGCTTTTAATGTTTAACAGACCACTGTATTTTAATATTTTGTTGGAAGCCGCCCAGAGTGGCTGGGGAAACCCAGCCAGATGGGTGGGGTATAAATAATAAATTATTGCTATTATTATTATTATTGCTGCCGCTACCTGGTATGTGCAGGTGAGGCTGCAGCTCACTGGAACATCTCAGGTTTTGCACACAATCATGTCAAATCCTTGGCACCTGCAGTTTAAACAGAATCTCTGTTAGCAGAGAAGGCCAGTGCTGGTCCTACTCAGAATAGACCCACTGAAATGAAGGCGCATGACTAACCTGGGCCCATTATTTACTTTATTTAGTTGTAATCTGCACTTTCATAAAAAAACCACAAAAAACGTATTGAGGCGGTTTGCAACATGTAAGGGGGGAAATTCATCAAGAAGCATAAGAGAATACATGTTGGTTAAAAAGGAAATTCATACTGCAAAGGATTGTCTGAAGGACAGTTAATTTCAATGGGTTCGCTCAGAGTAAAACTTGGTCGGACACAACCCTTAGATCAGTGGTTCCCAAATGGGCGGTACTGCCCCCTGGGGGGCGGTATTGGGATTACTTGCGGGGGGTGCTAAGAGGCAAGGAGTGGCAGGGGGAAATGACTATCAGGCTTTGAAAAGCTGGTATCGCTGGACTAAGTTCATCTCTTTTGTTCAATTAATTAAACCAAACAGTTTTAATTGGATTTTGAATAAATGAGTAATTATGGTTTTCAGTTTTAGAGAGCTCAGTTGGTAGAGCATGAGGCTCTTAATCTCAGGGTTGTGGATTAGAGCCCCATGTTGGGCAAAAGATTCCTGCATTGAAGGGGGCTGGACTAGATGACCCTTGTGGTCCCTCCCAACTCTACAATTCTATGCTTCTAACAATATCTTAGTGGGTCATGCTCATAGCTGTCAAGCGTCCCTTATTTCGCGGGACAGTCCCTTATCCCAGCGCCGTGTCCCGCTGCTGTCCCTTATTGATGATGTCCCTTAAATTTCCCGGGTTTCAAAGGAAGCAGCTCCTCTCCCTCCCTCCCTGCCGGCCAACTGTGTTGCTTGGCCACGTTGCTCACCCAATTAGGAGTCTAAGAACGACTGGGGGGGTGGAGCTTGCCTGCCTTGTGCCGATCAAATCGGCCACGCTGCCTGGGGACTCGCCTTTGCTCAGCGCTTCCCAGCAGAGAGGTGATGGTGGTTTTCCTTGCTGCATCCCCTTTGCCGGGTTGCTGCGCTGTGGGAACCACCGCTTGAGGCTTCGTTTGGCTGCTGGCTGGGCTTTCTGCCCTTGGGTCGGAGGGGCTCAGAAATTGAACATACCTCTGCCTGGAAAATCCCTTATTTTGGCTGCTGATCTCTTATTTTCGAGGCTGCTGGGCCCTTATTTTCAAATCTGTAAGTTGACAGCTATGGTCATGCTGGCTGCTGGCCTGAATGTTTTTAATAGGATAGTGGGCACTGGGGGTGGGTTTATGGAACCAAGGGTGTGGTGGCCTTAAAACATTTGGAATCCACTGCCTTAAATTCCCCATAACTTCTAGGTGGTAATCATATTATCCACTCAGTTTAAACAACATCTCGTTAAAAAACCTGTTCCGAATGCAAGGAACCCCTGCAGAATGTTGCCACTTAAGCTCAATCCTTGTGGCTAAATGTTAGGTAAAGCATCCCTGCTTGCAAAACTAAATGCACATTCCCTCTTCTTCTTTTCTGGGGTTCCACAGCTGCTTCCGACTGGGACCAAAGTGCTGCGGATCATGCCCAACCTTCCCTGCGTGGTCCAGTCGGGCGCCATCGTTCTGGCTCGGGGCACCTGCGCTGAGGAAGAGGATGTGGCCCTGCTGAAGAGGCTGCTATCTCATAGTGGGCTGTGTGAAGAGGGCCCTGAATCCTACATCGACATCCACACAGGGCTGAGCGGCAGCGGCGTTGCCTATGTGAGCTACCTTTTTTGTTGGGTCTGCAAGTGGCCTCTTAAATAGTAGGCATGGCATTGGGTTTAAACACACATTCTGCAGTTCTCGCCTTGGGCATCCCCAATTCGGGGTCCCCTATTGTGCATGGCTGCCCACTTGACCTTCAGCCGTTGCTGGAGTACAGCTCCCCATCATCTTATTGCTTTGGCATGCCAGTGGGGAAGATGAAAGTTGGAGTCCAACATCATATTCAGATTAGCCAAGCACAAGTTAGCGAACCCTTGCCTTGAGCTTCAAGCCAATGCATGTGTTAGTTTAAACTGCACTGTTTGTCTAGCAACCTAGACCAGTGTTTCCCAACCGGTGTTCCGCGGCACACTAGTGTGCCGCGAGGCGTTGCCTGGTGTGCCGTGGGAGGGAGGCGGGCGAGTCGGGCGGCGAGAGGCGGGGCGGCGGCGGCGAGGATCCGCGTCGAGCCGGGGGCGGCTCCGTGGTGGTGGTGCCGAGGTTTCTCTCTCCATTCTCCCCTCACACACACACACACACAGGAAATAACACAGGATCAGCTGACAGGACCCGGCCAATGGGGCGGCGGCGGGGCAGCGCGCGCAAAAGGGAGGAGCGCGAGACAGTGGACGAGGAGGAGGCCGGCATGTCCGGGCAGCAGCAGCAACAACAGCAGCAGCAACTCCCGGCGACGGCTCCTCAAGCCCCGGGCAACCCTATTCCCTCACCGGCCTCGGCCGCCCTCCTGCTCCACCCGCCGCCGCCTCCCCCGCCGCCGCCGGCCACCTCGGCCCCGCCGCCGCCCCCTCCTCCGCCCGCTATCGCCGCCACCACCACAACAGCCGCCGCCGCCTCAGCTGGGCCCATGCCTGCCGGGAGCGGCGGCGGCAGCAGCAGCAGCAGCGCCCCGGCGCCCTTCCCTCCCGGCGTGACGCTGCGCGCTGACGTCACGGGGCTGTAATGGTGGTGTGCCTCAAGATTTTTTTCATCAAACAAGTGTGCCTTTGCCCAAAAAAGGTTGGGAAACACTGACCTAGACAACACTTGCTGATAATCTTTGCTTTGTCTAAGTTAACTCTACCCCTAAAAGCAGAGGCATTTTGTTTACTTTTCTCTCCCCGCTTGCTGAGACCAAGATGCCTGCTACTTTTGCTCTCTCATCTCCTCAGGCCGTAAATAGTTCCTGCATGAATAAAGCCTTTGAACTCCAGAAAGTGATTATTGTAATCTAATTGGACGGTCTGGTAATGGTTTCCTCTTCTTTATTCTCTCCCCATTGCCACAGGCATACATGTTTGCTGAAGCATTGGCGGAAGGAGCCGTAAAGATGGGGATGCCGGGGCCTATGGCCCAGAAGATTGCTGCTCAGACCCTCTTGGTAAGGAGCTGTGATTCCTGCCAACCTCCTCCGTCCCTCCACCATCCCATCCCTCGATAATCTCCCTTGGTAACCTCTAGGTTTAAATGATTGCAGTGTTATATGTAGGGATGCCTCTGAAGAAAATTCGGAAACTTCAGCTGGTGCAGAATTCAGCAGCCAGGTCGCTCACTGGGGCAAGATGGTTTGTAGCCCAACTGCACGGGCTGCCAATTACTGTAGGTTTTGGGCCCAATTCAAAGTGCTGGTTAAACCGCTCAGGGTTGCAATACCTCAAGGACCGCCTCTCTCTACAGGAACCAACCCAGACCCTGCAATCATCCCGCAACACAGGGATCTTTTGCCTAACATAGATCTTGAACCCACAACCCTGGGGTTAAGAGTCACATGCTCTACAGACCGAGCTAAGGATCTATAATTCTTTCCTCGAAGCTTGAATTTCTCCTGGATTCTTTTTAATTTGATGTTTTCATTGTTGTAAACTGCTTTGAGATTTGCTATTTAAAATGCAGTGGTACCTCTGGTTGCAAATGGGATCCGTTCCGGAGCCCCGTTCGCAACATGAAAAGAACGCAACTCGCAGCGGCATGTCTTTGCACACGCAGGTTGCAATTTGCCGCTTCTGCGCATGACGTCATTTTGCACATCTGTGCATGCGCGAGTGGCGAAACCCGGAAGTAACCCTTTCCGGTACTTCTGGGTTGCTGCGGGACGTAACCTGAAAGAACGTAACATGAGGTATGACTGTATAAAGCAGTATAGAAATGAAAATAACGTTAATAATAATAATTTATTATTTTTTCCCCAGCCACTCTGGGCGGCTTCCAACAAAACTCTATTGCGGGGGGACCGACCCAGAGCCTAGACCTTCCATTGTGGTGACCATAACCTAGGTTTAAGAGGTGCCATTTGGCAATTAGATTATATATCTGAGTTTCTAACACTGTGATTGAGCAGTGATCTGAACGTTGGTTCCTTGTGTGGAAATCCAATGCGCTATCCACTCCCCCCCCCCCCATCGTCATATCTGAAACTGTATTTGTTGTCTTTTCTTCCAGGGAGCAGGAAGAATGATCCTGGAAACAGGAGAGCACCCAGCGGTTCTGAGAAGTGCTGTTTGCACCCCAGGGGGAACAACCATCCACGCCTTGCATGAGCTGGAGAAGGGGTCTCTACGTTCCACTGTTATGAACGCTGTGGAGGCAGCCACCTGCCGCGCTCAGACATTGGGCAAGCGATAGGAGGGGGTTGGCATGTGGTGGCCTTGGCGATGGAGGCCCCCGCATCTTTTGCGTGGGTTCAGGATAGAGAACCACCTGGAAGAATTCTGGGGCAGATGGCCTGGAGCTGTTGCATGTGTGAACTTCACGATTCAAGTCTGTTTTTTCTTTGGAAGATTGACACTCATGGGATTTTCTCCCCCGCTGGCCCCCCCCCCCCGCCCCGTGACTCAACAGTAAGGGAAGAATCCACACCAGTGACAATCATCCTCTCTCTCCGAGCCCTCAATATTATTAAACACACCCAACTCCAGGCTTCCTATCGACATGTTAGCTCCTCTTGTGTCATTATGTACCAAAGTTACCTGAGCATACAAGCACTAGCAGAAACGAGCCTTTTGCACTGTAAAAGGTAAAGGTAAAGGACCCCCGACAGTGAGGTCCAGTCGCGAATGACTCTGGGGTTGCGGCGCTCATCTCGCTTTGTCCGCAAACGGCTTCCGGGTCATGTGGCCAGCATGACTAAGCCGCTTCTGGCGGAACGAGAGCAACGCATGGAAATGCTGTTTACCTTCCCGCCGGAGTGGTACCTATTTACAGTGGTACCTCGGGTTAAGAACTTAATTCGTTCTGCAGGTCCGTTCTTAACCTGAAACTGTTCTTAACCTGAAGCACCACTTTAGCTAATGGGGCCTCCCGCTGCTGCTGCTGCCGCCGCACCGCTGCTGCATGATTTCTGTTCTCATCCTGAAGCAAAGTTCTTAACCCGAGGTACTATTTCTGGGTTAGTGGAGTCTGTAACCTGAAGCGTATGTAACCTGAGGTACCACAGTATCTGCTTGCACTTTGATGTGCTTTCAAACTGCTAGTTTGGCAGGAGCTGGGACTGAACAACAGGAGCTCACCCCGTCGCGGGGATTCGAACCACCGACCTTCTGATTGGCAAGCCCTAGGCTCGGTGATATAACCCACAGCGCCACCTGCGTCCCTGTTTTTGCACTGTACCTCCCTGTTTTTGCACTGTACCTCCCTCTGGTATAGAGGATGGTGTTGATGGAAGTAGCAAAGGAACACATCTGGCAGAGTAAACTTCAATAGCAGATGAACCAAAGGCTGGCTGGTTAAATAAGAACGTAAGGAGAGCCTGCCGGATCAGTCCAGTGGCCCATCTAGTCCAGCATCCTGTTCTCACAGTGGCCAACCAAATTCCTCCTCTGTTGGGAAGCCCATAAGCAGGATCCGAGCACAAAGAGCCTTCCTGTGGTTTCCAGCAAGCGGGCGTTCAGAAGCATCTCTCCCTTGTGGCTCACAGCCATCAGTAGTGCACTGAAGCTCCTTAGGGGCATATAAGCTGCATTATATTGAATCAATATTTACGCTGACAAAGCAGTAGCGTTTCCGAGTTCTTTCCCACCTCTTCCTGGGGTTGGCTGGGAATGGGGCCTGAGACTTCCTAAATGTGCTCCGCCACTGAGCTAGAGCTGTCCTACGCGGGCCTAATGCTGCACAGGGGACCAGAATTGTACATTGCTCACACAGTGCAAGGGAGACAGGACTTTTCCTTTCATAGGTTCCTTTCGGGCCCAGGCAAGTGTGCTTCATTCAGAGTTTGTACGTGTGCCATTGGGGTGCCACTGTCTTATTGCAGCCAGGCTGCAAAAGGACAGGCATAAATCCATTACATTAAAACAACTGGATCCCACTGCTGATCTCTCATCACAGAACTGGGAAAACAATACAGTCATACCTCGTGTTGCGTTTGCTTCAGGCTGAACGTTTTCAGGTTGCGACCCGGAAGTATCGGAAAGGGTTACTTCTGGGTTTCGCCACTCGCGCATGCGCAGACGCTCAAAACGACGTCACACGAATGTGCAGAAGCGACGAAACGTGACCCGCAGACGCGGGTTGCATTCTGTTCAGGTTGCGAACTGGGCTCCAGAATGGATCCCGTTTGCAACCAGAGGTACCGCTGTAAATTGAATAAAAGGCTTCTACTTTCCAATAACTGCTGTACAGTGGTACCTTAGGTTAAGAACTTAATTCGTTCTGGAGGTCTGTTCTTAACCTGAAGCACCACTTTAGCTAATGGGGCCTCAGTCTGCCACCGCCGCACAATTTCTGTTCTCATCCTGAAGCAAAGTTCTTAACCCGAGGTACTATTTCTGGGTTAGCAGAGTCTATAACCTGAAGCATGTGTAACCTGAGGTACCACTGTACTCTGAAATGGAAAAGAGTCTGCTTCTTGAGGAACACATTAAGCATGTTCAGGAATCATTTTGGGTTTTTTTCAGTTCTGTAATAGGACAACATTAACCCCCAAAAAGCTCCACACACACACACACACGATGTGAAAATTCAAGTCTCTGAAGTCCAATTCAAGTCTGTTCACAAGTGAGAGACCAGTAACTGTACCATTTCACTTTATTAAATTAATTCTTTGGCTGGCTGGCAAGGTGGGTCTCTCATTTCCAAAGCATCCAAGTAACTCAGAACCCATGGAGGGTTAGCACCACCTCATCTCTCTGTACGTCACCCAAAGTTTCCTGGGCATCTCACCAGTCCTGATCCAGTGTGCTTCTTGGAGAGGCATGGTTTTTTTTAAAAAGAGGAGATTCAGCAAGAAACTGAGGAGGAAATACGGAGGGGAAGAACAAGCAGGCCTTACAACAAGTGTGATAAGCTTACAAAAAAGGTGGTTGGGTGAGGGGAGTTACCAAATTGTCAGTTCTGACGCTGTGGATGGCATAAAATTAGAGAGTACTATACTCCTGCCTAGGCGCTCTTCCCATTGCACAGCTCTGCTCCTTTGATACATAACTGCTTTTTAGGTAACATTTGAATTCTAGAGCCCTCTCCTGTACTTCTGCGCATTCCCTTTTCTATTCAAGTATGCCTACATGGCCAACTCACACCTCAATCTTTTGTTTGACACTGGAAAACCACTGCAAACTCCCCACCCCTTTTGCAGGGAGCACCCCTCCCCCGAACCACTTTGAACTTGCAGGAGATTGTCTCCACCTTGGGACAACTTTTTCAACCTGTCTGCTGGACAGGACAAGTCTTTAATTTTACCCTGCGTAGAGTCTGTTCGAAAGGAAACCTCCGCCATGCATAAATTCTAAGTAAGAAGGAAGTCCGTGTGGTTCCACCACAGGGAACAGGCAAGAATTGCACCCTGAGCAAATGGTTTAGGCAGCAGAGGTACCCCTCTGCCTCTCTGCTGTAATAGCCACTTTTTTCCAACCCCCAGAACTTGGGGAGTCGAGCCCCTTTAACAGCCTCACCCCAATGCTCATAGGGAGGGGAAAGGAACTATCCTGTTCTGCCCTGATTGTGCCGTATTTGCACCACCCAGTGGGCACACGGCACCATCCCCTATTGCTGCATAAAGAGTAAACACTTCCACCAGATATGTAGGTGAGTGCAATAATCTGGTTAGCTGTTTTGCTCTGAGCCGCCTTGCCATGAGTCGGGTTCAGCTACCTTCTGCAGCCTTTGTGCCATGCTGATGAAGGACCGGAGCTGGACCACCTTCAGCGTCCCAACTTCCTGGGGATCCTGGCTCTCCAGCCAGCGCAAAGCCTTCTGGAGGCCTTGTATTGCTTCCCGGGCAGTGGGCAGCGGAGTATCTCCCATTCCATCACTCCCACCACCTCCACCATCTCTTGTCCCAACTGTTTCTTCCTCCTCCTCGCCTTCCCCTTCCTCTGTGTCCGGAATGACATCATCTAAGTGGAGCCAATCGGCCACTTCTTCCGGAACCAGCCGTTTGCAGGTAAGGGCAGCCAGGTGTACGAGGTCAGCGAAGTCCAGGTTGTCCACACCTGCAGAGGCCTCTCCCGACTCCTCCTCTTCGCCTCCAGAGTGAGGCTCAAAGGCGGCACGCAAGCCAAGCAGCCAACATTTCTCAATGGATCCAGCCGGGATGAGATCCCAAGACAGGCCAGCTAGGCAGAGCATATCCTCCAGAAGAAAAGAGCGGCCAAAGTCCAGCTCTCCACCAGGTTTTTCAGACTCCCCCACAGCTGCTCCTCTCGCTAGGCAGGCCACAGCCAAGCGCAACAACTCCCGCTTGTATAGCAGCTTGAAGGCCGACACAACGCCTTGTTCCAGCGGTGGCAAAATCCGGCCTCTGCCTCCCAAAGACCCTCCTGCCGCCTTGGAAAGGAAGAGCGCTCGGATAGACCCGTCCGGAGTTTGAAGATGGGGCGACTCCTCGGAGTGCGCGGAGGCGCAGCTGAGCAGGAGGACGGCTTTCTGCTGGAGGCAGCTGCGGCGCAAAAAGCGCTTCACGCTAGGCACGAAATCGTCGAAGAACCAAATCCGCAGCAGGGAGCGGTCCAGCCGGGCCCGGGGGCTGTAGCGGTAGCAAGCTGGGAGTGTCTCCCTCTTGCGGCACCGGAGGCAAGGAGGGTCCCGCAGGCCTCCCACGACCAGCGGTTTCAGCTTATGGGAGCCGGTTAGATTTGCGGCGAGCAAGACCGTGACCCCGTCTCCCGCCCACGATGGGAGAGGCTGTGGCAGTCGGGCCTGGCCAGGCAACAGCTTCCAATAAAGCCCGGTGATGTTAGCGTTGTAGATTTGGTCGTCACTGTAGCCGCCTTCGTCTGGTGGCGCAGCAGCCGTGGGCGGCCGGGTATGGTCGGAGAAGGCAGAGCAGGGGGAAGCAGCGTCCGCTTCGGCTCGGAGGGCAGGCGTGTCGCCCGCCGCCCCTAGGCTGCCCCCCTCGCGTTGGCTGGAAATGCCGTGCCGCTTCTGCCACCGCCAGAACCACCCGTGGCTGGCCTTGAAGGTGCACTCGGGCCCGTAGATCTGCCGGGCAAAGGCTTCGGCCTGGGCCTGGATGGCGGGTCCGGAGAGCGGCACGCCGTGCTGGCGCAAGGCGAGGAACCACATGTAGACGGCGCGGTCGATCTCCTCCTCGTTGGCCAGGCGCATTTTCTTGCGGTGGGTGCCCACCTCGCCCCCTAACTGGTCCAGGAACCAGCGCAGCTTGCTTTCGTCCTTCAGCCAGCCGCGGAGGGTGCCGCCGGGGACCCCGAAATCCCGGCACACCGAGGCCTGCCGCTCGCCCCTCTTCACGCGCTCGATGGCCTGCAGCTTGTCCTTGATGGAGTAGGCCCGGCGGAAAGCCATCTTGGACGCCGGCAGCGGGGAAGATGGGGCGGCACGGGGGGCCCGCCTCGCAAGGTCGTCGTCGGGCTTGCCGCAAGGCGGGAGCGAGGAGCCTGCAGGCTCACCTGGCGCTGGTGGCTGTTTCATGGGGGAGGCCTGGTCCCCCCCAGGGCTGCCTGGGGCCCCGATCCCTTCCATTGCAGGGAGGAGGGC